ACCTAAATATTTGTATGAATAGAATACATATATGGAAAGTATGGATGAATTGCTAATTAAATGTATGAATAAATATACCTGTGGAGGCATGGTTGAATTGCCAATGTATAAATATACATACACGGAGGCATGGTTGAATTGCCAATGTATAAATATATATACTTGTGGAGGCATGGTTGAATTGCCAATATATAAATAAAAATATTTGTAATGGCATGGTTGATTTGCCAAAGTATAATTACGTTATTATGTGTTAGATGATTAAAATATCATCTATGATTGTTGTATGTATGGATTGGATTAGGGTTAGATATTCTTAAATGAGAATAGTTTAGTATTTACTGGTTAGTGTATTATTTTATATTAATAAAATAATATTGGGGAAGACATGAATGATTTGCCAAAGCTTGGATTTTGGATATGTGATTTGAACAATTAAAATCATTATCGGGTTGGGATTAAATAGAGTATTTCTTTTATTATAATTTATTGTTTAAATGATTAAACAACTGTTTTTTTTAAAAGAAATGGTGGATTGGTCTAGGTATGATTATTATTTTAATCATTATTTAATAGGTTTGGAAATTTAATAAATCTATTAGTGGATGTGATTAATGTAGTATATATAATTATTTATATATATGTATATCATGCTATATTAAAGTTAAATTCTTTATTAGGTTGGATTTTGATCAGAGAGAATCTATTTATTGGTTTTCAGAGGTCTGGTAGAAAGAACTTGCTCGTAGGGTTTAACCCACAATTTATTTTTCAGGTTATTAGAAGTTCCAGTCTCGAGGTTGAGGATCCGCAGCTGGGAGACTGTTATTCATCTATTCATCTTGTGTACTTTTAAGTAGTATTGGATTATAGATAATGTTTTAAGGGGTCCTTGGGTTATGGGATTCCCGAGTTGTAATTGTTGGAGAGTTATTAATTAATGGAAATTATTATTTATTAGTTTTTCTTCAGCGTATTATTTATTCTTTTATTTCACTTTGTATTCTGTACTTGTTTAAAATACTTTAATTGTTTTGATATCCTCTGGTTTTGTGCGCGGACTTGATCAACCCGTGTTCCGAAATCAGGGGGTATCACATTTTTGCTTGCAATGGTTCCCTGGACATTGCAACAAACATCCCATGGTTTAAGTCAATGGGCAATCAGTTATAAAGTAATGAGTCCTAATAGGAGGTGTGGTGGCTCCATATTTGTTGCTTAGTTCTTGTTTGTCTGTCAAATTTTAAAATAAAAATAAAAATAAAATATATATATTTTCTTATTTTTAAATAGGAATAATAATTTTAAAAGTGGGAGGTACCTAACCTTTGATCCCTAGACAATTCTTTGTTCAAATTTTGTTATTTTAAAAATTAAATGCATAAACAACTAAATTAGACAAGTGGAAAATATTAAACGTGTTAAATAAAAACTTAAATTGTCAAATTTAACTATCACGTTGATAGTTAGGTTTGAATAACCATTTACTTAAAAATCTTAAGTTGTTAGAAATGATGTAATTTAAATATTTAAAACATGCAACAGAAAAAAGTTAACTAGCTCTTCTAAAACTACCCTTTACTAAAATAGTTGAATAAAGAAGAATGTGAGTTTGATGATTGGACTTAGATTCGGCTTGTTTAATAACAGAGTCATTTATGCTAGGTTCAGTGGGAAGGAAGAAGGGTGAAGAGAAAATAGGAAGGAATGAACAAACTTCCTTTGTTTGGCAGAGATGATATGAGTAAAGAAAGGAGAATAGGAAGGATGACTCATCTTTTCTCCTTTATAAATTTGAGAGAGAAGGCAAGTGAACTATTATAGAAAATTTAAAATAAATACCATCTTAAATTATACCGGTTTTAAATTATAGTGTTATCTTCTATAAATTACAAATATTATAAATAGAGTAATGATACTTGCACCGATTTGTTGCACCGAATGTTTCTGATTAGTTATTTATGCATAGTACATGTAAGTGGAGGACCCTACTTCTTTATTTATACATAAATGGACCGAATAAAAGAAATAGGTCTGACAATTCATTACAACAAATCGTATAAATAAAGAAATGAAACCCTCTACTTACATGTACTATGCATAAATAACTAATCAGAAACATATGGCGCAACAAATCGGTGTAAGTATCATTACTCTTATAAATATTAGGGTTAAGTGCACTAAACCCCCCTGTACTATGATCCAATTACAAGAAACCACCTTGAAGTAAGTAAAATCCTCTAAACTATCATTTTGTTGCACTCATTCACCAACCGTTAAGTAGCTGTTAACTAAAAAATGAAATTACCGTTTAACCCTTACCCCTGCTAAATGGTTTTCCACCTGTTGTCACCGGAGTTGGAGGCCAAAGAGGAAAAAAAATACTGATAGAGAGAGAGAAGGAGTAGTAGCAATTTGCATCAGTTTTACAATTCAACTATTCTTCTAACTCTTCAATCACAAACCCTAATTTCATTAATTAACAACACCATCCCAGCCATGGTAGATGGAGATGCAAGCGTAAATTTGATTGTCATTTCGAGTCTTCAACTTTGTCTTTGTTCGATCAAATTTGAAGGAATTACAGAGGAGGTTTCATGGGTCAAGTTGAAAATAAGGAAGTTACAAGGGTGGGACAACTGCGGTTGAGGGCGGCGAATGAACTGAGTTCGGCGGTGAACATTCGGGCGAAGGTAGGGGATTGGGTTAGGTCTTCGTTGACAGCATCGGCGCCGTTTGTTATAGCAGAACACTCTATAGTAAACCCAATCGCAATTGAATAACCCATAAATATGTTATCACGGATAATAAAGCAAACCCAAATGCAATTGAAATTTATTAATTGCAAAAACCTAGAGCTTGGACCCGCGATCGCTCAAAAATTAATCACACTACAACTATCGGCGACGTCAACGATATGCTCCCGGAGCATGGTCGACGTGAATTGGGCATTAAAGAGTACGGCTCTTTCTTTCCCCTCTCTATGTGTGTCACATCCCAACTCTATCCCTCAATGTGTGTCGCATCCATCCCTGTGTACTCATCTTCGCATCCCTCACTGTGATCTTTGCGTGTGTGTCTGTGTATATATATATATATATGGGAGAGATTGATTACAGATTGAAATGATCGATATTTTTTCTGTTTTTGGGAGAGGTTTATTGTGAAATTTCTTGAATTTTCTAAAAAGGGTTTTTTGGGTTTCTGATTACCGTTATCGTCGTCGTCATCCGAGGGTTGAGGGGTGTTTTCGTTTGTGGGTTATTGGATTGCATTTAATTAGCAGGCAAAAACCTTCGACGACGGCCGGAATTTGAGTTTCTGCCGTTGGTCCGTGCCGGAGCTCGGCGATCCAACACATCTTCGCCGGCGAGAATCAGCTTAACTTGAGGGAGAGAGTCTCTCCGGTGAGGGTAAGGGTTTTACGTTTCTCCCTTCATTGGGTCATGAGGGCTAATTTTGTCCTTAATTTTTTTTTGACCCCTCACGTGACATAAGTGCTCTCATTTCTGTTAAATTTATAACGGAAAGTTAACATTTGCAACAAATGGAATAGTTTAAGGGGTTAAGTGTCTTTGTCATAGTTTGTAAGGGTTTTGTGAGAGAGAGAAGAAAGTTCAGGTGGGTTTAATGCACTTAACCCTAAATATTATTGGATATAATGATAAAAATAATTAAAACTTTCTATTTATTTCTGTACTAACGAATATAGTAAATTATGAGATTATTCTCTACATTTTTATCTAACTGAACAAAAAGAAGGAAATATAAAATCTCTTCCCTAGGGATGGATGAGACACATCCATCCATTCTTGTCACTCTTTTATACAAATTTTTTCTTTCCAACCAAACAAAGCATTAGGTGAGTTCATACATGTTCATGATCATTTTGATTTATTAATAAATTTAGGGTAAAATACAAAAAATTCCCTGAATTATTGACTTACTAACCCACTGAACTAAAGGTTGTCCCTCTAAACTATTGATCTGTTACAACTAAGGACAAACCCATCACAAAAGACTATTAAATTTTTTGTTATTAAATTTGTCATTTCTTATTAAATTGTTTTTTTTTATATTATATTTTCTCTTATTTAAATATTAATTATACCATTTGCCTTAATTTTATAATTAGTATCAATTGATTTTAAAATGGAAAAAAAAAAAAATAAATTTGTAGCTTTTATTTTCCAAAATGATTAACTTATTATAATAAAACTTATTACACTCACTCTAAAAAAATTTAGTATAAAAAAATATCTTCTTTTTCAAACAATATTCATTAAAAATTAATAAAGTACGTAAATAAAAAAATTTCTTCTTTTTAATGCAATATATTCATGAAAATTACTTATTTTTTTTCAAAATATTCTATTTAAGATTTTTATTTAAATAGTTAATTGAAAAATAAAGGCAAACTTATGCAAATTTAATAGAGAATATTTCATCAAAGTAGTATGAATTTTTTTCATAATTTATTTTAACAAGGAAAATATATAAAATGTAATTCAATAAGAAAAGATATTATGATCATTTAATGAAAAATAGGTATGACTATGGAATATTTTGCAGCTAAATGTGATAGTTTAGAGATTTTATACACAAAACATAATTTAAGGAGGTTATTTACAAATTTAAACATAATTGAGGGAGTTTTTTTGCACTTTACTCATCAATTTATACGTATAAGTCTACACAAGCAGATATTCATGAATATTATATGCTTATATTTATGAATGAATTCATATGATAGATCCTATCCGAGTCTTATAAACTCGCATTACCTCCGTCCCAAATTAAGTGTTGAGACCGCCGCGCCCGGGGGGGGTGGTGTGGGGTTTAACACCATAATCTTCATTTTTTTATTACTAGTTTCAACATATTTTGACCCGACCCGACCCAACCAGCTATACTTGTATCATTTAAACCCGACCCGAAATTCCTCGAGCCGAAATCATTTGTATTTGTAGCACCGATATTACATAAGCGTGAGTCGTAACAGCAACGAAAATCACAGGGGAGAGAGAGGGTAGGAGGTAGGAGATCTGCTCGAACAAGCAAACCTCACTGAACTCTCCTCTCCGATTAGATCGGACCTTATCTTTTTGCAGATTAGGGTTTCGTCTCCATAATTTCTCTGCAATTGCCGGAATTTTAAACATTTTGGCTGCTACACGACATTTGATTGATATTTAATCATATAACCTCATGTATTATCATTTTATTTTGTATATCTCTTGATCTGAATTGTACTGTAATATCTAGGTTTTTGTTTTGGTCGAATTTTGAATGTTTAGGGTTAACTTTTGTGGAATTTGTGAAAATTGTGAAAGAATTGGTGGAGGTTTGAGGTTGGGATTGCCGGGGTTTGAATGGCGTCGGCTCAGGTGTTGCCGCAGGCTAATGCGTCGCGGAACAAAGTGCATTTGGAAGCTGGAAAACGACGGGTATGTTTTTTTTTTTTCTTTCGAAATCTGGTTGGTTTCACTTAATTATTCAAATGGGATTGTTTATTAGAATGATACTAATTTATTTATCATGTCAGTTCTTCAATAATTTGGTGACAAAATGGGTAAATCTGTTAAATGTATGCAAGGCTAATCCTGTGGGGTCAGCGAATTGGAAGAAGTATTCGTTAACCTGTCAGCTTAATTTGTTGATATACAAACGTATAAACACACAGATCGTTAATTTTTGAACAAGGAATAATGTTGTTGGTTGGGTGTATGTAGTTGTTGCTAGTTCTATAATTTTTTTTTATTTTTTTGTTACTTTCACTGTTGAGATCATTTTGTAAACACCATATTTCATAAGAAGGTTGCATGTGGTGCTCAGAAGTTAGAACACAGAACTTAACATTTCAAGGCTGGACAAATGAACTCAAGAATGTACAAGGAAGACATGCTGAGTCTAGGAGATCTCTATTACAGTCTAAATACAACTTCCGCATTCCTTGTTTGGAGGACAGACTGCGCCTAGTTTCGCATCATTTTACTGAATGAGCCATTTAAAATGGTTTTCATTTTCATCTTAAGGATCTTCAGTTTCATTTATTTTCAGTTTGTGGCATGCAAATCAGGATCTAGGACCCTGAACTGAATGCATCTCACACTATGTTATTAGCATGCCATATTACTTTTACAAGTATCTTTAGGTGCTATAGATTTTTTAAATGAAGGCAAATAACTTAAGTTACATAATGTAGGCTAATCCTTTGTAGAGGTGACAATATCCCATATTGGATGAATTTTGTGTGGTGTCTTTCATTGCTAAAGAGGTGGTCATGTGAATGAAGATTGAGTGAAAGACTTGCAATAGGAAACACTTCATTCATCAAAAGCCATTCTGCATGAAGTCTTCTTTTTAATTTTAATAGATGAGGTTGGATCTCAAGGGATTTTTTTTGTTACAATTTGTCTTATACATCAAGCGATTGTTCTCTGGGTTGTCGTCATCAACGCATCGTCATCACCATTGCCTTAATCTCGTATGAATTGGATCGGCTACATAAATTCTTTTTGTCTATTTTTTTTATTACAATTATTTCTCCTATTATATTTAACTTTTCAAAACAATTTCTAATCGCTTCATTTCATGTTAGTTTTACTCGGCCTCTCTGTTTCTTACCTTCTATACAAGTAATCTTCCTTGTCTTAGTTTGTACTAGCCCATCTATAGGTCTTTGTTGTATATGTCCACACCATTGAAATCTACTTCTTCTTCTTCTTTTTTAACATTTCATTTTAGTTATATGAACGTGTTGTCCTTGTTTCTTTTTTCAAATTCAAATACTCCACTTTTTATTAAATAGTTGGCCTAATAGCTCTCCTATGGTTACTTATCAAAAAAAAAAAAAAAAATTGCTCTCCTATAGAATTTTCTTTTTTGCTTGTTTGATGTTCTTTTATTGCATAAAACACAACTATCATTTCTCCATTTTGTCCAACTTGATCCAATTATACTAATTATATCATCATCTATCTCTTTTTGTATTATTGATCCTAAATTTAAAAAATGGTTATTTAATGTTTGTATTGTTCTAGTTCTTTTATTTTCATAAACAATATCTACTCTTAGGGAATGGTGACAAAATCCATTTTCCTTCATATCCTCATGCAGAAGCTTGTAGTTTGAACACTTATATCCTTTTTGTACGACATGAAGGATCAACGCTTCATTTTAGAAGAGATGTTGACAATTTTCTTTCCCACCATCCCTTTTCTTGGGGATTTTATGACCTATATAGAAAGAAGTGCTAGGATTCTTCTAATTTGTTGAACCTGTGAATAGGATGAAGTTCAATAGATTACTTTTAAGAAGATAGGAACAAATGTCCAAGGGTCTATGGGTTTATTTTGGCTATGTTTGTGGACTTATCGAGAAAGTAAACAAGTTGTCTTGAGTGCCTCTGAGGAGTATAATTTGATGGCTTATAGAATAAAATTTTCCGTAACTTCTATTGTTTTGCTTTTGAGGAATGTTTTGTGCCCATTTGCTTATTTTTGAGGCTTTAGGTGAGAAGAATTGTATCCTTTACCCTTAATTACTGGAATGCATTCATTTAATGGTTCATTTACAGGCCTTAATTACTGGAATGAATTCATGTTGGGTTAGTATAGGTAATTGATTAGGTATAATGGTGCATTAAATGCAATAGTACATTAATCTAAAAAAGAGCTAGAGCCAATGATTCCTTATTGTACTTGTAGCTGATTTGCATATACTCAAGGTACTTCAATAGATGAATTAAATTTTGTAGTACAAGGTTTTCCTCCTTCACAATATTTTTGGTGAAATCTTTCTTCATGCAAGTTTATCTTTCCCCCCCTATCCCTGGACAAATAGCAACTATCAAATTCAATGAGATTTGCTTTTCTTTTGTCTTGCAGCTAGAGGAGTTCCGAAAGAAGAAGAAAGCAGATGACCTTGCCAAAAAGGCTGCATCCACAGGTCAACTTAATACTGCAGAAATTGGTCTGCATGAGAAGCAACCTTTAGAAATTGAACGTGTGGCTGCGGACTCAAGTGGGGCTGGTACATCTGATGAAGTTGGTGGAGCTGTTATTGATCTGTCTGGTATAGTTATCAACAATGACAACAATAGAATTGAGATTGTCCAGGACAATGAGCTAGGTACTTCTTATAACACACACACTAATTTCCCCTGTTAACCAACTATCATAATTCATTTTATGCTGAAACAGTGCAGAAAAAGACAAAGGATCAAGAACTTAACAGGTATAATGCACTGGAGTCTGCTGGACCACCGAATGCTAATTATAGCCATCAGACAAATGAGAAGAATGGTGACTACAACATTTTTAGTGGAGCCTCAGGAAGACTTGCATATGAGGTTGCTACCGATCAATCTATTGCGCTTCGGCCACTAGCCATTCAAGATATTGATAGCAATTCCAGTCAATCTAGTCACCATGGGTTGAAGGAAGTCCAATCAAAAGATAATGATAGTCCAGTTACAAATTCTGGTACTCTTCGTTTTGTTTTTCCTTTTGTTTTTCCTAGAAAAATGTGTATAATATTCTCCTTTTCACTTTCTCTGTGTGTGCATACATATATTGGGAGCAAAACTAACTACAATGTGTCATGTTCTTATGATGTTCTGTATTCATCCTACAACGTATATCAGAGTCTTCCTATGAAGTTGGACAAAACATGCAGAATGTTTTGAAGTCTAATAATACTATGATTTCTGATACGGGGGAAAGAAAGCCTAGTAGCTCTATTGGTGGTTTGCCCATTGTGAACGATACACCTCTATGGCCATCTGAATCTCGATCTACTGGTTTCAGTTTTGATGTCAGAAGTTCATCTAATCATGTACCACTATATCCATCCACAGCTGATACTAACACTAGGAGAACTCGTCCGTCTTTCCTTGATTCTATCAGCATACCAAGAGTACCATCTGCTTCGGATCAGTCATTTACCAAAACTGAAAGAATGGAATCTTTCTCAAAGTTGAGGACTCAAAATGTAGATGTTGAGCATTCCATGAAATCTTCGACTTCTGCTGGTAATGTGGATGACCTTTACAGGCATAGTGTCAATGGAAACAGTGTGGAGTGGAAAAATGATTTTTATTCGCAAAAACAGGATGAAGACTTTGCTGCATTGGAACAGGTTATATACATTTATATAATTGCTGCAATATTCATTATGCACTCATATTAACTCTTTCTATGTAGTATGTATTATTAGATTTGGCCTTTGGAAGTAAAATTTCTTCTAAAGGTAATTATGTTGTACCAATGGGCCATAACAAAGGTTATTCTAGGAAACAACATTGGGTTACCTGGGTGACGCACTTGTTTGAAAAATTATGACCTCAATGGTTGCTTTCCTGCTTTGTCAAAAATAAAATAAAAAACAGTAATAATGTAACCGAACTAGGGGCTAGCCCAGTGCACGAGTCTCCTGCCGTTGTGGGGACTTATTTTGGAAGGTGAGATGTACACAACCTTGCCTTTGCCAGCACAGACGCTATTTCCTTGTTTCGAATTCCACCCTCATATTTTGGAATAATGTAACCGAATTCCATGAAGGAAAACCTGTGATGCATAGGCGTTCTTCTCATATGGTATCCTTTTTTTATTTTGAGTCTGAAGCAATAATTTGATTTTGGGATACGTGTCATCTTATTGTGCTAAAAGCAATTAAATAGGACTTTCATTATATCAGCAATTCATATGGACATTTTGGATCTTCATTAAGGATGGGCATAATGGAGACTGAAAAATAAAAGAATACTTAAGGACCTTCTAGTACCTTGAAACATGCTATGTTTTCTGATATGAAAGAATTGACTCTTTTCTACCCGTTCATGTTATTTTTACAAATATATTTATGTTTATATATTATTGCAGAAGTCTCACTTTCTAAGGTTGGGTTTTGGATGTATTCTCTTTCTTTATAAGTTTTTGGATTATTCTCTTTCAGGCTTCATATTTATTATATTTGTGTTCTTTCCTGTGCAGCATATTGAAGATTTGACGCAAGAAAAGTTCTCTTTGCAGCGAGCTCTTGAGGCTTCCCGAACTTTGGCGGAATCTTTAGCTGCTGAAAATTCAACACTAACAGATAGTTATAATCAACAGGTCAGTTTCCTTCTATTATAGCTGTGGATAATATCTAAGAGCCTGTCAAACTGTTATTCTCCAAGATGGAATTTCATATGATTACACATTTCTATGTTTCTTTTTGCTTACCTACATTATGAATATATGTATGTAGATGCCTGTTATGAATATTCCTAGCAGCTGATTTTCTTAAATTTTCTAACAGTCCTTTGATTTCTTTTTATGATATGGTAGTTAGTTGATTCATTTTTTTTTTTTTTCCTTCTTCCAGGGCAGTGTTGTCAACCTGCTAAAATCTGACATGGAAAAGTTACAGGAGGAAATTAAGGTCCAACTGGTTAGTATCAATCACAGGCTAACTTACTGCCAATATTGGCTATTTTATTTGAATTTTTGTAATAGAATTTTGTAGAGTTATGTTGGCTGTATGCTGGTCCATATATGCATCATAGGTAATATGGACACAGGACATGGTCACGGACACAATACAACACGGATATGCTGACACGTCAAATTCTAAAAAAGTAGGACACGGACATAATAGCATGGACACGGCTAATATAAATATAAATTTTTATTTATATATCCATTGAACAAGACAATCATAGAAGTTTAGTTAATTTATAAACTCTATACTAAAGTTACACAAGTTAGTGATGCTATTGAATATAAAAAGGAAAATGTTATATTATATAGGGTGAAAGGCATTAAACCCCCTTTTCTATTTGCGTTTTGCACTAAACACCCATTTTCTATTTTTTTGCCAAAAAACCCCCTCGACTATCTGAGGGGAGAGTGACTTAGCAAACCGACATTAGTTGAAAGGAAACTGAAATAGAAATGACTAAAATAGCCATTAATCAGCTTTATGAATGCGTCTTGAATATATTTATATAGTTTTGTTAAATAACCTAATCGACGTCGTTCATTGAAATTAACACTTCTATTGTTTATTCTTAATATTTTAACAGTTGAACAGTTTTTTAGACTGTTGAGGAGATAAAAAATATGTATTGAAAGCAGTCTTTTATTTGATTAAAAAACAAATGTCTTATCTCTAAAATTATGGGCTAAACAGTTCCAAAATAATGTTATGATGCTTGTTGAGTTCACATTAGTTATGTGGAAGGAATAGATTTCTTATAGGAAAAACTATTTTGAAATAAAAAAGAAAAAAGGAAACATGTAGGCATAGAAAAAAAGAAGGAAAAACATTTAGGCATTATTATTTCCTATAGTGGTAGAAGACTACTCCATTTAAAAAATCTGTATAAAATGAAAATCAATAAAAACTAAAGAAATGAATGCGCATTATAATTCTGAAAAAAAAAAAAAAAAAACAGATAAATTTCTAGGAAAGATCCAAATTCAATGGAGTGTGAAAGGTTAATTGGTTGGAAATGCAAATATAGTGTAAATGATATTTAATGGTGTATATTATATATAATATTATAATGGTATATATAATTTATATATATCATGGGTAAACAAAATAAGTTGAGCAAGAAGAAGAGTATGTGCTGTTGCAATGGGGGAGGATATGTTACTAAGAGTGATAATAGAGTAGATATATATGTGGGGTATGTATAAAATAAGTAGAGGGACATTTAAGTCTCAAAAATATATGAGAAAACTCAACGTTTAAACAGCTCCCTTTCAACTAACGTTCATCTGTTAAGTCACTCGCCTCGGATAGTTGAGAGGGGTTTTATGACAAAAAAATAGAAAAAGGGGGTTTAGTGCAAAGCATAAATAGAAAAGGGGGGTTTAATGCAGTTCACCCTATTAAATATGATACTATTATCCTATCTTGTCATTATAGTTGCATTTTGTTCCTTAGAGGTTGAACACTTTTATGTATGTTCATAATGTTGTTTTGAGGATTGTTGTGTGTTTGTTTTATATAAGTCGAAGAGTGTAGGATGTGTTGGTCGAGTGTCGATCAAGTGTCCGAGATGGAAAGCCAAGTGTCCAAAATAATGAAATTTATTTTAAAATAATGGACACGGCAATGAAGTGTCGGACACGTGTCTTCCATGGAGTGTTGGTGTCCGACACAATGTCGGACACGGACATGGCACCTCGTAGAAGTGTTAGTGCTTCTTATAGGTGGCTGTTGTAATAACTGTGGGCCCATGTAATTTTAGAAGTTTCATTTATTTTAATTTTTATATGGGATAAGAGACAATAACTGACATAGAAGAAAATTCAAGAATACAACGGGGAAGAATGAAGCAGGTCAGAAAAGAAAAGAGATAACAGAGTTACAGATATCCAGCAAAAACAATTCCCCCAACCTTACACCTTTCTTAAGGAACACTGGAACACTTGAAGGGGGATACTATTTTTTAAGGGTTAACACTAGAAAGCAGTAATATAAATGCCTTCTATTGATGCATCATGTCTAGACTCCAGCTATACCAGACTTCCAAAATTGTGAATTTAGGTGACAGCTATATTGATATAGGAAGTAGGAACCAGATAATTATCCAAAAAAAATGTAGGAACCAGTTGGGAACTATATTATATTATCTGTTATTCATTGGTTCCTTGCCGCTTTGATTTCCTTGTGCGGTTCATTGACAAATAATTTTTAGCAATGTGCTTAGCTTTATTTTTTGATAAGTAAAAATAACATTAAAAAAGGCGTTCAAGAGGGGAACGCGTCCCAATTACAAAAGTGGAACTAGGACTAAGGCCCCAAAGAATGCAAGAAAATAGTTAAATCATCTGAAGAAGAGCAAAAGCTCCTCTTCACATAATTGAAAAGAGAATGAAGAATGTAAAGTTTGACCATTTCCGTGGGCGACTCTTTTCCTTCGAACATTCTGCTAATTCTCTCCTTCCAAATGCACCACTATACACAATGATTCTCCAGAAATCGCAAACGTCTCTTCTCACTCGACAACCTCTCCGGACATGAATCAATTCCTTAGTAGATCGTCGCAGAACACAACACATGCCAAACAACCCAACAATAAGATTCCAACAATCGATCGCCACAGGGCAATGCAAAAGGAGGTGATTAACGGACTCCTCATCATCCTTGCATAGACAACAACGATTAACAAAACAATTGCCCCTTTTTCTCAAATTATTAATTGTCAGAATCTTTCCCCACACAGCAGTCCAAACAAAGAAAGCCACCATAGTTGGAGCCATAGACCGCCAAATAGTTTTACACGGGAAATCTCGATTAACAAAATTTGACAAACATAAGAACAATGATCTAACTTCGAAACGACCGTGGGAAGAGGGAGCCCAAATTAAAACATCATTACCTCTGCTAACGCCCTCCTGTTGATACAGAAGATCCAGAAAGACACATACCTCGTCCATCTCCCAATCCTGAAAAGAGCGCCGAAAATGCACATCCCATATAATCCCGCTGCTATCAAGCCGATAACAGTAAACTATGTAGGCGTGTTTATCAACAACAATACTGAATAATCTAGGAAATGCATGCCTTGAGGTCGGGCTGGGGGATATAGATTGAGACGAGATGGACAACCAAAATTATTTCAACTGCATCTAAATGATCCAATGATCATTCAAATTGGTCAAGACTGTAGCTAATGACCGCTTCTCTATGGTACTAGTTGCTGATGGAGTTGAAGATAGGTTTGGCTGATAGGAACATCTTATCATGATCAAATATGCTTTTAGGGGTGAGTTGTGATACGAACTCTGGTGATGCGTGCCTTAGGATAACAAGTGATGGAATTAGCATATGTGATGGGGCATTGGATGTTACAAAGCTCGAAAAAATTTAAGGAACTTGTATATTGCAAGCCCATTACTTGTATTGTAATATTTACAAAAAAAGTCATTGTAAATCATAACAAGCTTCAACCTATTTCATCTTTGTGGATCCAATTGGGCTATCAAATCCTTTCTTCTTGTTTTTCTCTGACAATGTTTTTTTTTTTTTTTTTTTTGACAAGTAAAGTGTATTAGAAAGCGTTCAAAACGGGAACGTGTCCCAAGCTATACAAAAAACCAAAATGGAACCTATGATCTCAAAGAGCCCAAAAGGTCCACAATATCCTCAATAGAAGAATAGTCTCTCCCCCAACCCCAACAAAAAAAAGTACAAATAATAGAAAATTTCAACACCCCAATTGAGGACTCCTTCTCGTCAAAAGATTTTCTATTCTGCTCTTTCCAAATGCTCCACCAAACGCAGAAAGGGGTCACCCTCCAAAAGACTCTCGCCTGAGCCCCCACCCATTGCCCCCTCCAAATATCCAGTAATTCTTGAGAAGTCCGAGGCATGACCCAATGAATACCAAACAAACCAAAAATGAGACTCCAACAGTCATGAGCCACAGGATAATGCAGCAGCAAGTGATCCACTGACTCCCCATTCAACTTACAAAGACAGCACTGATTAACAATAATATGTCTTCGCTTTCTCAAGTTGTCCAAAGTCAAAATCTTACTCCAAACTGCAGTCCACACAAACAAAGCCACCCTGAGAGGCGCCTTGGACAACCACACCGTTTTCCACGGGAAGGTAGAGCCATGAAAACTAGAGAGAGACACAAAAAAAGACCGGACCTAAAACATCCCCTGAGTAGAAGGCACCCAAATCAGGGAATCTGCACCAGTGCCTTCCACCTCCTGTCTGTACAGGTGAGCCAACAAGCTAGTAACGTCACTAACTCCCAATCCTGAAAAGATTGCCGGAATCGCACATCCTAAGATAGCCTCCCGCTATCAAGGCGATAACAGTTAGCAACCAAAGCATGTTTGTCAACAGCAATCCCGTACGACTTTGGGAACAAAAGAGCCAAAGGCCTATCCTCGCACCAGGAGTCCTCCCAAAATCGAACAAACCTTCCATCCCGAACTCTGAATCTAATATGTTTGGAAAACTCGTCCCATTCCTTTCCAATGGCCCTCCACACCCCCACTCCACTAGCAAACCTGACTGGCCTAGCTGACCACCCCCCCCCTCTCTCCTCCCCAAAGCGACATGAAATAACCCTTCTTCATAATTTATGCCTTTCACTGCTGAACCTCCAAAGCCACTTGCCAAGGAGAGCACTGTTGAAGGGGCCAATCTCCTAATCCCAAGCCCGCCCAGTTGATAAGGCCTGCAAACTTGCTCCCATCTGACAAGATTATACTTAAAACTCCTCTCCACGACCCCCCCAAAGTAAGTTTCGTTGAAGTATCTCCAAACATCCAACAACAGAGGCTGGGATCCGAAACAACGAAAGAAAATACGTTGGGAGGCTTGACAAGATACTTTTAACTAACTTAACTTTACCACCCTTGGAGAGATAATGCTTTTTCCAACCAGCTAATCTTCTCTCGACTCGCTCAATCACCGGGTCCCAACTTCCCACCCTCCTGGCTGAGTCCCCAGCGGCAGACCCAAGTACGAGATAGGGAAATGTTGTGTCCCACACCCTAAAGCAGCAGCCAAAGTGTCCACCTCCTGAACCTCCCCCATAGGAACAAGCACACTCTTATCCACGTTGACTTTCAAACCAGAAACAGCCTGAAAGCAAACCAAAACACATCTCAGATACCTCAACTGGGACACCTCTGCCTTGTAAAAAACAATGGTGTCATCCGCAAAGAGCAAATGGGAAATCTCCATCTGCTGAATTAAGTCGGGGCCGATCTTGAAACCCCTGATAAAACCCAAGTCCACCGCCCTTTTCATCAACCTACTAAGGGCCTCCATAACAATAATAAAAAGGAACGGGGAGAGAGGGTCCCCTTGTCTCAGACCACGAGAACTGCCGAAAAACCCCGTAGGATACTCATTCACCAACACCAAAAAGACAGTGGAAACACATGAAGCAATCCATTTCCTCCATCTCTCACCAAAGCCCATCCTCTCCAACAGATAGAACAAGATATTCCAGTAGACGTGATCATAGGCTTTCTCGATATCCAGCTTGCAAAGGACACCAGGAGCCCCACTACAAAGTCTAGCATCCACACATTCACTGGCAATAAGAGTGGAATCCAATATTTGTCTACCCCCAATGAAAGCATTCTGAGACTCAGAGATAACTCCATCTAGAACTTCCCTCAATCTAAACGTAAGGACTTTTGCGATGAGCTTGTAAATGCACCCAATCAAACTGATAGGTTGAAAATCCTTAATGTTAGAAGCACCACCCTTCTTAGGAATAAGGGCAATAAAAGATGTGTTCAGTGATTTCTCAAAACGCCCCGTGGAATGAAACTCATGAAAAGTGCCCATAACCTTATACCGGACCACCTCCCAGCTCTCCAACAGAAATCTCATAGTAAATCCATCAGGGTCTGGAGCCTTATCACCATTACAACTCTTTAGAGCCTTCAGCACCTCCTCCTCCGAAAAAGGACTCTCCAGCCCATTTCTTTCCACGGTAGAAATAGAATCAAAGTGAAGCCCATCAAGATGTGGCCTCCATCGAAGAGGCTCAGAATAAAGCCTTTGGTAGAAGGAGACAATACCGCTACACACCTCCTCCTCTGTAGTTAAGACCGCACCATCCTCACACATCCGCCCAATGTGATTATTCCTCCTATGAGCATTAGCAGTTCTACGGAAAAACTTGGTGTTCCGGTCTCCTTCTTTGAGCCACAAGGCCCGAGATTTCTGACGCCACGAAATTTCCTCCAAAACTGCAATCTCCACCCATTCTGCCTGACAAGCTGCTCTCCTACTGTGTTGAGATTCAGAAAGAACACCCTCCCCTTCAGATTCCATAAAATACCCCCCCCCCCCCCCCCCCCCCCGGGGCGCGCCCGGCCCCTTCTTTTGTACACATGTTCTTTTTTAATGAGAGAGATAAATGTGTTTTTACTTTTTTCTGTTGTCTTCTCAAGTGTGTAGGATTTTGACTCCAATCATACTCTTTTCATACTAGAAATGCCGTGTCTCAATATCCAAGATAAAACATAATTGTCCTTAAGACTTCGTTTGCTAGGAGGGAAGAAATATAGAGAAAAGATATTTGTTAGATAAAATTGAAAATACATTATCACCCTTGTTTGAGTGTTTTTTAATTTATATATCAAATGTATAGCAGTAAAATAATAATAATACCATACCCTTCTTTCCACTCAACCGAACAAAAGGAGGGATGGGCGCTCTCCCTTCCCTGGGAATGCCTCTTTTATCCCTCTTCCTCTATTCTTCTTCTTCTCTTTTTTTTCATCCTTCCTGGCAAGCGCAGGTGTCTGATAAGCATTTGATATGTGTTTGAATTAAAATAAAGATTTTCAAAATTTGCATACCTTTAGGAAGTATTAAGCACTTGTGCTAGTATCTAGGAGTATTGGTATCTGATATGGGTACGACTTGTTTGGATTTTTTCATTGCCTACCACTTTTCCCTACTCTAGTATACTGTCCTATATTAAGTACTGTTATAAAGTTAGAAATAGAAAATGATATTAGAGAATTTAAGGGTTTTTAGATCAAGTAGATTAAGACAGTATATAGAGTGTAAATTTAGTAGAACTGGAAACAGGATTGAGATTGAGTGAAACCTGATAGGCAAAATTTACCTAAGATGGACTGCTTTTGATGTCATGGATTTGTTTTTCACGAAGAAGTTGAGATTAACATGTACATTGCCCACGAATTAGAGTAGGATGGATGAAATGTATAAGTGATCCATAACGTAACTTTTGTAATAGGATTTCTGTCAAGTTATATAATAATAATAATAATACTTATCAAAAAAAAATAAAAAAATAAAAATAATAAAAAAAACCAAAAAAGGAAGAAGTTTTATAAGATAGCTATAGCTAGCTACACTATATGGTACAAAATGGTGGACAACTAAATAAAATACATATTGAAATTGGATAAGACCGTATAAATTCGTTTTAGATAGTTTTGCTTTGTGCTGTATAGACAAACTAAGGCACCTTATGTAGGAGTGATTTGATCGGAATATATTGTGCTATAAGAGCAATGTGAAGGCCAGAAGCAATTCAGGTTGTGGTTGTGTGAAAGAACATGATTGCTATGAATTTGACCAAGAATATGGCTTTACAAAGAACTGATTGTGAAAGATGGATTCATGTAGTTAACCTCAAATATTAGAGTCAAGGCTGGTTGAGTTATCTTGACAACCTATACAGCCTTATTCATTTATGGTCATTTTAAGTTTTCTTGATTGGTTAAAATTTTATATCATAAAAATGGGCTGGCATTATGAATCTTATTTTCTATTTAATTTTATAGGTGTTTGTCAATAACTAAACACATGACACAACTTTATAGGAGCTCTTCCTTACTTCATAGATCCTACCCCAGTCACTCTTTCATTGCCTCAGTGATCCATCAGATAAGATTTTGTGGAATTTTTAGGAGAGATATATTGTTGCTATGGATGGAGATTTGGTTCAAGGGTGTTCTTATTACTCACTTAATACAAGATTAAAATGGCTCTTTGATTTTTCCCTATCCTTAAAAGATGCTTGCATAGATTGTAGTGTACCAAGTATAATCAATATGTTCTTTATTTATGTGCTTATCTAAACGGTATTCTTTCCTCATTTTTTGATTGTTTGGGTTGTATTCGATGTTGACAGGTGGAACTTGAGTCTTTGAAAATTGAATACTCAAATGTACTCCTAGAATGCAATGCAGCTGATGAACGCGCCAAGTTGTTGGCTTCTGAGGTTATTGGTTTAGAAGAGAAGGTAATTTTGTTTGTGGTAAAAGAGGTTTTGTTATTTGATTTATTTTTTGAGTGGGAGGAAAGTTACATAGTGGTTGTACTTATCAAAAAAAAAAAAAAAAAATTACATAGTGGTTGTCAAAATAGAAAAGAAAGGCTTATAATACTACATCAATTGGGCCGTCTATGTTTTACTTCATTTCTATTTTTTTATTTTTTTTAATAAGTAAGATTTTATTGAAAACGCTCAAAAGGGGAGCGGAACCCAAGGGAAACTAAAAAGCCCAAAGCACCTCAAATCTTTAAAGAAGCCAAAAAAACAAAAATCTCCTCAAAAGATCTATAATCTCTCCCTGAAACCCAACAAAAAATAGTAGAAATAATAGAGAACTTAAGCATAGAAACAGGTTTCTCCTTTTCCTCCAAATGCACCACCAAAGACAAAGAGGCGTAGCCCTCCAATCGTCCTGCACGAGAGCCCCAACTAGAACGCCTCTCCAAGCCTCAATCAATCCTCTAGAAGAACGAGGCATAACCCAATGGATCCCAAATAATCCAAGCATCAAATCCCAACAGTCTCTGACCATGCTGCAATGTAAAAGAAGGTGATCAACGGTCTCCTCATCACACAAGCACATATAACATCGATTGACCACCACCTGATTCCTCCTTCTCAAATTATCCTGAATTAAAATCTTGCCCAGGACAGAAGTCCACGCAGAAAAAGCAACCTTAAGGGGAGCCTTAGACCGCCAAATAGTTTTCTAAGGGAAAGAGCCTTGATCCCAAACCGAAAGGCACCTAAAAAGGGACGTAACCTCAAAACGACCCTGAGAGTTAGGAACCCAAAGCCAACAATCCGAATCCCCCCAACTGTGATCACCTGGCGATACAAAACCTCCAAAAAATGAAAAACCTCCTCAACCTCCCAGTCCTGAAAGTGTCTTATAAACTGAACATCCCAAGTTAATGACCCGTTATCGAAATGATAACAATCAACCACCATGGTCTGTCTGTGAGAAGCAATTCTATAAAGCCGAGGGAAAGCAAGAGTAAGGGGAAGCTTCCTGCACCAAAGATCCTCCCAAAATCTAATCCTCCTACCATCCTTGATCCGAAATCAAACATGCCTACAAAAAACATCCCGCCCCCTCCGAATGAAAGTCCAAACCCCCACCCCCCTAGGACCACGCACCTTAAGGGAGCTCCAACCACCTCTACTCTCCCCCAACTTACTCGCGATAACTCTCCTCCAAAGCCAATGCCTCTCATTCCCAAACCTTCACAGCCATTTTCCATGGAGAGCCTTATTAAAAGACAACAACCTCCTTAACCCTAAACCTCCATTCCGAATCGGATGACACACTTGGTCCCACCGAACCAGATGATACTTGAATTCCTCTCCGCTCCCCCCCCCCCCCCCCCCCCCCCCCCCCCCCGGCCCCCCAAAAAAAAAAAAAGAAAGTTGCACTACACTCACTCAATTCTCTCAGCCACCGAAGAAAGAATCTGAAAGGGAGATAAAATAAGTGGGGAGGCTAGAAAGGGTGCTCTTAATCAGCGTGACCCTGCCCCCCTTTGAGAGGTACTGCTTTTTCCACCCCGCCAACCTCCTTTCAAATCTATCCACAACAGGATCCCAACTCCCCACACATCTCGAAGAAGCTCCCAAAGGCAACCCTAAGTAGGAAATGGGAAAAGAACAAAAAGCAAGAACCACTAAGCCTTCAAAGAGGCCAAAAAAAAGACAATGTCCTCAATGGATCTATAATCTCTACCCGAAACCTAACAAAAAAGAGTGGAAACAATGGAGAATTTAAGAACAAAAATAGGTAGCTCTTTTCCTTCAAAGTATCTCCTATTCCTCTCGAGCCAAATGCACCACCAAACACAAAGAGGCGTAGCCCTCCAAGCCTCCCGAATGTGAGCCCCTACGGGACAGCCTTTCCAAGCCTCAATTAGACCTCTAGAAGAACCAGGCATGACCCAAAGAAAACCAAACAGACCAAGCATCAAATCCCAACATTCCTTGGCCAAAGGACAATGCAAAAGAAGATGATCAACAATCTCTTCATCCCGAAGACACATGTAACACCGATTGACCATCACCTGATTCCTTCTTCTCAAATTATCCTGAGTCAAAATCTTTCCCAAAACAGAGGTCCAAGCAAAGAAGGCCACCTTAAGAGGAGCCTTAGAACGCCAAACGGCCTTCCAAGCAACAAGTCCATAACTCTTTTTACTTGAGACAATTTCTTGTCGTATATCGGCATAAAAATCATGAACAAGCAGAACGAAGGAATCAACAAACTCAAGTGAATACGTACATAGAGTTGAAGGAACATGATCAATGGACTGGCATGGAAATGAATTAAAGACAATTTTGAACAAATAATTGCCAGTAAATTGATTAGTTAAACTTGTATAAGCATATTCCATTATGGGCAATAACAAGTTCCAAGTGTCTAGGTGCACGTTAGTAAGAAAACTAACCAACTTTCTTAGACCTTGTTCCACAACCTCAATTTTTCTTTCATTCAAAGGACAAGATGCAAAAGGAAACTTCAAAGTTGTTTCTAAGAATGTCCAAAGTGTCTTCCAAAAATTACTGTTGTACTAGACATCCTTGTTTGACACAATGGCAGTGGATGACTCATGAAGTTTACCAATTTCTTTAGTGCAATCTTGAGTGATCTCATTTTGTGCAAATTTATCATCTACTTCATCCAGTTCAACATTTTCCCTATGATGTGTATATATAGGACATCAAATGAATATGATCCTGGGGCTAAGGCAATGGTGTGTTGCTCGACATTCATGTGTCGTAATTTAGTTGGATGTTCCTCAATTGTCCCATTTTTAATTTCATTTACACATTTAGGTGTTGGAGAATCCAACACCTCCTTATATGTGACACGGGGAACATCATTAGTCACTTCTTCTTCTTTTGCCTACACATGTTTGTGGTCATTAGGCGGAGAAGAAGAAATTTGTAGTGTTTTAGAATCCTTTTCTGGTCACTTTGCAGGCCTTAACATGAGAGTTTTGCCATTATATTTGAATTGGTAATGATTCTCCTTGCTATGGTGAGTCACATTCAAGTCACAAATCCAAGGGAGACCAAGTAGCACATGGGCAGCAGTCAAGGGTAAAACATCACACCAAATGTCATCAAAATAAACTCCCATTTGAATAGGAACTAAACACCTTTCTGTGACAGTCAAGAAAGTTCCATCAACCCAGAACATCTTATATGGTTGTGGATGAGGTTCAGATTTAAGTTTCATTCTAGCAACACCTGATTTTGACACTGCATTTATTGAACATTCTCCATTTATGATTACTTTGTAAACTCTCTCTCCAAATCTGAGATATGTACGAATGATGTCGGTGCGCGTCCAATCATCTTTTCCCATAAGAATAGATGGGATGCACATCATGTCATTATAACAAGTCTCATCTTCCATATGATTTCCCCCAAGGTTTGGAAACGATCCACTATCATCTAGGTGAGGTGGATACTCGGTTGGATATCTACACTCTAAGAATCAATAGGGTTTGCCAACCAGAATTTTCCTATTGGAGTATGATTTTGAACTATCAAAAGCATCACAGCAGTAGTATATGGACTCATCATAATCAAAAGTATCACAGTATTGGCATGTGAACTCGTTTCTAATAATGGGGGCGATCATTTCTAATGTTCTGCCTAAATCTTGGGGAAACAAAGTACCTATCAACAAATGCATCATGATTTCTTCGTTTCAGTGCAGATTGTGGATAAGACATGTCACGGCCAAACATGATGATCTCAAGAGGATGGCATAGGCATAAGAAGGGTTAAGAATAATGCCAATATAGAACTCAAATTGAATTAAGTAAACTAAATTATAAACTAGACAATGCACAACTAAGAAATCTGAATGCAAAGAAATCGATTATGCTAAAAGTCATGCACTAGTGTGAGTATTTGAAATAGTGAATAAAAATAATTTTTTATTTTATTTTTTGGATAATAGTGGGAACAAAATAAAATAAAAATTTAAGTAAATAATCTGTTGGAAGAATCAAATCAAATGGGTTCAATCAGGGCCTTTTTGTAATTCCTAAATTAATCAATTTGATAAAAGTACTAATAACAATATTAATTGAAGTATGTGTAACTTTTCCGAAGTCCTCTGTAGCTCCCAATTGAATGCTCCCAAGTGTTGAAAATTACGCAAAAGTGGCTGAAGAACTGTAATAGAAATTCTGTCTCTGTTTCCTTTCTTCTCCTTTTTTTTTTTTTTTTTTTTTATGTCTCCTGAACTGGCCAGCTGCAGAACTGGTTCAATCAAACCTGGACTAGTATTGAACTTGGGCTGAGTTTTTTTTTTTTTTTTTAAGTACTGGATCACTCTTGGGCTGGCCTGTTCTGAATCTGGGCTGATTTTGATCTGGCTAGGCGCATACAGTAGTAATTTGAAGTTGATCACTGCTTCCTGGGACTGATTAAATCTGACTTTAATTTAAATTTGAGTTTGGTCAAATCTGATATAAATGGAAAACAAAATATATCCTTTCCAAATCAATTCTGACTTCCCAAGTCTGATCTTTCCAAAGCAATAATCCAAAGCTGACTTTCCAAAATCAAATACTGAATTCTTGGCTGAAGTTGCGACTGGCAGTGACGATCAGAATGAAACTGTGGTGAGACTGTTTGGCGACGGGCTGGTTGACGGCAAGAGATGTAACGATGGTGACGGCGGCGACGAGAAAACTCCGGAAAGATGAACTGTGATGGTTTTCACTAGAGTGGGCGAAGAACACGATGAACAGGGGCTGGGTTTAGGGCAGACGGATGGATGGATTGTGGTGGGGTGGTTTTGGTGGCAGCGGATAGAGGTATTTTGGGTGGATGACAGAAGACGATGAACAGACAGTGGGTGTACTGTGTGTTAAAAGAGTAGGGTTAACAATGATTATTGCTGAACTTTTTTTTGTTGCTAAAACAGATGATGATGGCTGAGCTTTGAATCTTTTGCTCTGATACCAATTGATGCAGCAGCAGGTAGGGGCGATTCGAAATCAGAATTCAAGTAGAATAAGAAAGAAATTGAGAGAGAAAGGGAATAAGAATAGAGGGAAAAGAAATCAGAAGAGAAGAAGAATTCAGAAGAGGAGAAGAATTCAGTGGGAGAAGAAATTACGATAATCTCAAAATTCAATGTCAATAATAATCATCAAAAGTTGTCCTTCACAATGTCAACATATCAATAGGCATCGAAGAAAAACCCTAAAATTCCTATTACCATAAACAAAACCCTAAAATTCAATAATAATTATAAAAGCAAAAGCCCTAATTCTGTCTTTCTTTCCCATGTCTCCAATAGTAGGTGTGGGCCATATGGACTTCAAGCTCTCGGGCCAGGCCCGGTTCTCCGTCAGTATTCTTCTTCTTTACTGGTTGAACAAACCTTTTCATGCATCATATTAACCACAGTCTGGTCTTTTTCCTTTTTCGTTTTTTTCTTTCTTTCTTCTTCTTAGTCTTCTTCTTCTTCTTTTTTTGTTTTTGTTTTTGAATTTACTATCTAATGTTTTTGTGCAGACACTCAGACTGAGGTCAAGTGAGCTAAAACTGGAGAGGCTACTGGAGAACTCACAAGCTGAAATTTCTTCATTTAAGTATGCATTACCTTCTTAAAAGTTGTGTTATTTATTTATTTATTTATTTATTTATTTATTTTTGTGTGTGTGTGTGTGTGTGTGCACGCGCGCGTGTGATCTCCTTCTTCATTTCCTCCAATTTTTGTTGCTTTTGTGAACTGAGGAAATTGCCTAAAGCTTTTTGAAAAGAAGCTTTTATTTTCATTTTGTGAGCTATATGTAAAGCTTGTCATTTTGTTAACATTTTAGGGAAGGAAAAGACACAATTTCACGTTTTTTAAGATTGAAAGGAAAGACATGGTAGCATTTTATTTAACTAAGATTACAACCCTAGAATAGAAAGTGAGGAATGATGAAACATGATTCATGTCTCAAAAGTTGGGATAAATCTTTGAGTTGAGATTTTTTCATTTTAAATATGCAGAATTAGTTTGGTAATGGCTGGTAATTAAGGAGTGTGAGAATTTTTTATTTTTTATTTTTAATAAATATGATCATCCTTGTTTGTATGACATGCTATAGGAGGAGAAGAGTGTGTTTATTTTTGTGCTATTTCCTAGTAACTTCTCCTTATATTTTTTTAGATATTTTACTCTAGCCTTTCCCTGTTGAATCTTGCAGAAAGAAAATGTCAAGCCTTGAAAAAGATCGTCAAGATTTGCAGTCAACTATTGAGGCTTTACAAGAAGGTTAGCAGCTTTTATTGTGCTTACCTATCAAATTTTAGTCATACTAGTAGGAAATGTTATTAAAGATAGGATAAAAAGGGAATGAAGGAGTCTTCTTTGGGGCCTTAGTCCCGGTTCCACTCTTGTAATTGGGACGCGTTCCCCTTTTGAACGCTTTTTTTAATGTTATTTTTACTTATCAAAAAAAAAAGGGAATGAAGGAGTCTCTATAACAAATTTTGTTCAATGACTAAGAGATTAAGAGTAATTACATCTGAATTATGCAGTCTCATGTTTTCACCCCTTAACTTTCTTTATTTTAAGAACAATCAATTATAGTGTGATTCAATTCAGTAAAAAGTTTATATTTATTAATATCCAGGAACATGATGGTTGTTCAAAATCTCTAGTTGCCAACATTCTGTAAATATTCTATTCTATAGACCCGTGTCGGTGAATGTTTCAGAAGTGCAAGTGTTCAATGCGGATACGGTTCTTGTCATAAGTGTCTATGCTTCTTAGGATTTCATCATCAAAATAGAGATATGTCATCTTGATAAGGTCTCGGGCATTTTCTTTGGGGTTTTATGGTCCCTCTCTTATTGGCAATGATTGCCATCTTGAATTTGTCTACATTAACAAGAGTTTATGGAGATAAGAGATTAACAGTGCGAATGCATTATAACGACCACATATTAGAAACTTAGCTGGAAGCCTGGAATCATATAAAGAATTTATATCTGCTACTGATGGCAAGTAATTGATCAAAGTAGTTGTCCCAAAGGCGTTGTTCATTACACCTTTTGATGAATACTCTGATTATGCATTTTTATTGGCTAAAGGATTTGTTTTTTCCTATACCATTCCTCTATATGTAAGGTAATGTCTTATTTGTTAATTTTTTTATTTTTATAATTTTTTTCTTTATGTAAGGTTAAACAATTTGGGTTAGCTTTGTGTTTTTCTTAAAATTACTTGGGAAGACATCTTCCATGGATAAGTCACTGTCTGAATTCTGATGCTCAAGGGTAACAGTTCTTCATGAAACATCAAAAATCCATCCAAGAATGACCTTGCTTCACTTGTAGATTTACTATTTGTTACTGTTGAAGGATATAAATATTAAAGTTACACCCTCCCTAACAGCTTAAGCTTTTGGAGTAGATGGTTATTAACATAGTATCAAAGCCAAAGGTCTTGAGTTCAAACCTCACCGTCACCCTAATTAAAAAATTGAAAAGCACGTGTTGGACCAAAAAAATGCCACACGTGAGGGGGCGTGTTGAAGGATATAATTATTAAAGTTACACCCTCTCTAACAGCTTAAGCTTTTGGAGTAGATGGTTGTTAACAGTTACATATAGTTTTCAGGTTTCTCCATATATTATGATATTCTCGTGATGCCCTGGTGTTGTCTTCAAAACTTTCTTGTGTTATTTTACATATTTATTCATCAGCAATCTTGAAATTACTCCATAGATGTTCTGTTCACTTGATGTGTTTGCTTATCTCACTATTATCCAATTGGCCAGAAAAAAAACTCTTGCAAGAGAAGTTATGGAAAGCGTCTGCAAATGGGAAGTTCATTGATGTTAGCAAGAGTCGTCCTAGTAAGAAAGATGTGTCAACTTCTACAGAGGATCTAGGTATTTAATTCCGTTGGTTTTCTGTTACATGTCATTCCAGCCTGGTAAATACATGCTCTTTTTTTTTTTTTAAATTTGATTTCATTATACATGATGCTGGCTAGTTGTATTGCCAATCAAGTTTGTTAGCCGAGATTTTAAATGGATATGACTTGTACTACAATGTTGTTAAACTAGGCTCGAGGCTCAGGTTTAGCGCCTGTTGTCATCCCAGGCTCATTGATGTTTATTAGGCGCGCGCCTCGGTTGCGCCTCGTCCTGTTTGTGAGGTGCGCCTAGGCGCGCCTCATTGATATTTGTTTAAAAAATACGATTGTTCTATTTCTTAAACCAAAAAGGGTACTTTTGGCAACTTAATAAACAAAAAAGAAAGCTCAATCATATGATATAAGGAACTTTTGTTCAAAAGAATAGAAAAATATGAAAGCCCAAGAGTCAAATTGTTAACCGAACAATGATAGAATGAGATTGTGAAACGAAGACGAAGACGAAGACAAAGCCCTAGTTGCAAAGATGAACGACGAAGCCACATCAGTTCTTTCTTTTCTTTTTTTGCTCTCTTCTCCTCTAGATCTATCCTCTCTTCGTATCTTTGTTTACATCTCTCTCTTCATCTAGTTCTCTTATCTCTCTGTCTTTTTTTTTTTCTTTTTTCTGCTCTGTTTTTTTTTTTTTGTTAACATATTTATTTCTTTTTGTTCTTTGTTTTGCCATTCAAAAAACACATTTTGCTTTGCCTTTCAAGAAAACAAATTTGTACTCTGTTTTATGGTTGTTGGATGCTTGTATAGTTGATGGATTTACTTTTTTATATTTGATATTAATTTTTGGAATATTGATATGACTTATGAGATATGAATGTTATTATGGTAGTTTAAATTTTCAATTGTGCGCCTCACTTCACTCAGGTGCGCGCCTAGGCTCCAAAGGACCTCTAGCGCCTTGGTGCGCCTTGGGCCTTTAATAACTATGTTGTACTAGAGTGCCCAAAATTCTGGTAGCCCATATTAAAATTTTGTGGTTAATGAGCATGTATTATATGTTGTTAGGTGCCAATGTGGTGTAGGAGGTCCTAGAAGGAGAAATAAATTTATCATTAAGTATTCAGTTCTAGTCTTAATGTTACTTTTAGTTTTAAATTTATTACCAAGGGTAATTTTGGAATTTCTAAAAGTATAAAACTAAACCGGCTTTATTGGCATGGGATGTCTTAATAGTGGATCAGGCTTGGGCCATCTATGAATTTATCCTTGTGCTAAGCAATTTGGTGATTAACTTTGAATGTGATATGATTTCACGCCTATGTATGTCCTGCTTGGCCCCATTCAAATTTAGGATAATGAGTGTTGTCCTTTTGTTGGTACAGGCAATAACTTTATTCAGCACGTACGATGAATGTGTAAATACATGTCGTGCGAGTGTACATAACGAAGTTCTCTTTACTTTGCATCTTTACTTGCAATTATTGGATAATTCATTATGCTAATATAATTGAAGTCAATCTTTTTAGTATCTTTACTTGCAAAATACTGGATATTCATTATGGTTTCCCTTTCTACATTTGCTTTAATTTCATAAAAGATTTCCTTGAATTCCATGAGTTTGGTACCTCTTTTGGACATTAATATTGTTAATTCAGGCCGTGGGGACAGCACAGATGCTACACCAGACACCTCATTTCAGGAAATGCACAGTACTGCACCTCATCTTGGAAGTAATACCTCCAGCTCATCCTTGTTGCCAGAGGATAGGCAGTTCATTCTTGAAGTTTCATCTTGGAATATTCCTCATGATCAGATGAGAATGATTCAGAACATTAACACATTAATTTCTGAGGTAGCATCTATTCCATATTTGCGATAGTTTCAGTGTCATTTTTTATTTTTTTTTCTTCCTGATTTTACATTTCTGAATGACTATTGGACTTCATGTGGCGGCAGTTAGCGTTGGAGAAAGAAGGATTGATGCAAGCCCTGTCAACTGAATCATCTCAAAGTTCTAAGCTGAAGGTAATTTTAATCTTAGCAGTACTGTACATAATGAAGTGTCAATGGTTAATTGGGATTTTTTTTTTACTTTGATGCAAGAAGGCAATCAATGTTCAAGATGTTAAATGAGTAGAAGAGCGATTTTCCTTGCACCAGTTGGATGGGCAGGAAAGTATCTCCCCTAAACCAATTTTGAGTTCTTGTTGATGCTAAGAGATGGAGATACTACATGTAAAATTGAAGAGGCCTTAGTCTAGGTGGGAGTTGACTAATAAAGAGCGAGAGTGGTCATTACAATCACCACCTTCTCCACGAGGTCAAGGCTTTGCTGGGAACCTAAACAGAGTCTAGTTAAGTAAACTTTGGGTCTTGGATGCTGGGATCTTTACCAGGTCTAAGCTCCCCTCTTATGGAGGGTAGAGGTCCATTTATAATACATGAGAGCAAGCACAGCTCAGTTGATGTGGGATCTCATCAGTCCTGGCTGTTCTCCACCACAATAATATGCTGCCACATGCACTGTAGCTCTTTGATTAGGACTTGGTAGAATCAACATTGCAGCTATATGGGTAGTTTTACGGTGATATAATAGACCCTGAGTTGGCAAGTTTTTTGAGCAAGCTTCCGCCAGTCTAAGCATTGCCTCCTTGTGAAGGCATTTGTCCTCCAGAAAATAAGTGATGTCCCTACTTCAGTCAGGTCAAAGTATGTGCAAATCTTTGCGAAAGGTCACCTTGGCGAGCCTTGAATTTTAAACACCAAGTCAAGCTTTCATAGGATCCCGGAGGAATATGATTAGGGGTGCAGCTTGGGCCTGCCCAGCCCGAACCCGTCCTCAACCCAATTTTGGGTTGGGTTGGGTTGGGCCGGCCCGAGGTAACACAAATTTGGGCTTCAACCCGTGGGACTAAACCCGAATACTCACGGGTCGGACGGGTTATCCGGGTCAAACTGTTTTCCCTTTTTTTTTCCCCAAAACAATAGGCCTAAATTTTTTTCCCCCCTTTTTTACTATTTGAATTTAATTTCAAAAAGATTTTAAAAATATCATTGCAAAGGCAAAATATGTATATATCACTGATATTTTTTTTAAATTGAAAAGACAGTGTATTACTTACCATTGAACTCTTATAAAAAAATAATAATAAGGATGACATAAGTATAATAAAAAAAAAAAAAATTAAAGAAAAGGTTCAAAAAGGGCTCTGCCCATAAACCCAAATTTGTATATTTTTTTTATTTGGCAGATTAATTGGATTGACATATTGTTATTATTATTATTTTAAAATCTCTCTCTTACCTGCGTATTTACACCTATCTACCACAATTGATCAATCAAATAAAATTATAGCTTAATCGTAACCGTCTAGTCTAACATCTAAATGATCTCATCAAACCCTAGAAACATTAAGCCCCTCTTTCTTCTCTCCCAAACAAAAAAAATAAAAAGACTTGAAATCTTCAATTTGGGTTTCAAAATCATTTTTTTTTTTTTTCACCACTCACCCCCAAAAAACACAACCACTTCTCTGAATCATTCAATTCTCCTTGGCATCAATCAATGTAAAGATGTGTTAAAAAGATAAATAAATAACAACCAAACAACACCCTTTCTCTACATCAAATTTTTTTTTTTCCAACACCCACTTCCAAACACATCATCACAACCAAACAAACTCACCTTCTTTTAGGAGATACCAATGTCGTGATCGGCGGCGGCGGTGGGGACGTAGAATGAAGACGGCACCGGAGGCAAAGGATGAAACAACGGCAATGGAGGCAGAGGTGGGGGAAAACGGTGTCGGCAAAGGAGGAGGAAAACAGCGGTGATGGAGGAAGGCGGCAGAGGAGGTGGTACTTGGCAGGCGGCGACAGGTGGTGACGGCTTCTTCTTTGAACATAAAGATTTTTTTTTTGGTTGCAAATCTAGTGACGGTTATTAAAAAAAAAAAAAAGAAGAGAAAATTAAATTCGGATTGGACGGGTTGGGATTGGGTTAGAACAGTTCAAACCCGAGGCCAACCCGAACGAGGCCAAGGTTGAGAATTTTCAACCCGATCCCAACCCAAGCTTCTAAAATTGCAAGCCCAACCCAAAAATTTTCAGGTTGGGCTGGGCTGACCCGCCCAACTTGCACCCCTAAATATGATACATCGTGGCAAAGTAGACCTAAGTGGTCATACCAGATCCTTGGAAACCATCACAAGTACGGCCAGCCAGTGTCCATGATTATAGTCACACAGAAGGCTATGACAGGTCCCTGTTCCCTGAAGTGGATCATGATGATAGCCGCACATCAAGTTGTAGAAGTATCGAATCCTCCTAACAAGATGCCTCACAATAGTCTTCAGTGATGCCTCTAGGGAAGGTAGCAAGGCTTATCTGAGAAGAAGAGATTCTCGCCTTATTTAAGAGATTGTGTACCCAAAATAGCATGGATAAAATTCTTGGTGACTGTGGGGTGCATGTGGGATGCGGGACATCCGGTGATGGACTATAGAGTTCTCTATATGGTCCGACACCACCATCGTCGGTAGAAACTAATTAAATGAATAAATAAATAAAAAGTATTAATATATTACTAAACGTTTGAACTTCTTTATGCTGTGTTTGGTAGGAAGGAAGAGGTGCGGAGAGAAAATAGGAAGTAAGGAACGAACTTTCTTTGTCCGGTAGAGATGATAGAAAGAAAGAAAGGATAATAGAAAGGATGAGCCATCATCCTTCCTCCTCTACAAATTTTTATCCGCCCAAAATGGGCGGAAGAAAGGAGGGAAGACAAGTGGACTATAATAGAAGTTTTAAATTAAATACTATTCTAAATTATACAAGTTTTAAATTACGGTACTATCCTCTATAAATTATAAATATTATTGGATATAATGTTAAAAACAATTAAAACTTTCTCTTTCTTTCTCTCTCTCTTAACAAACATAGGAAATTATAAGTTTATTCTCTTCTCTTCTATCCAACCAAACAAAAAGAAAGAAATACACAATCTCTTCCCGAAGGATGTGTCATCCATCCCTTCTTTTTTCCCTTCCATCAATTTTTTTTCTTTCCTACCGAACAGAGCATTACTCGCCCATATAGGAATTTGAAAAGTAGTTTATAGCTAATGCAATTTTGAACAACTTTGGCTAATATTGATTATAATACTGACATAGTGCCTTTGCAAGATCTGAACAGCTAGGAGATTGTCATTATTTAAAATTTTATTTTTTTATTTGGATTGGAAATTTGAAGGAATAATTGCCCATATCCTTTTCGATGTTAGTTGACTATCTCTTTGTCTGTAGTACAGTGCTTTGCTTCTGCTAGGTTTTGGAAAATCATTGATACATATACTCTTCCCTTTTAATAAAATATTTTCGATCTGACTTATCCTCTAATGGGAAGTTTATTTTGAACTCACTGGAATTGATTCATTATCATTTAATTTTGAGCCTAATGACATGGTTCACACTATCTACCTCAAAATTACTTTTGGTGGTTCACAATTTTTCTTACAATTTTGTTGTTTGTCTTGTCTTTTTTATATAATTTTTTTTTTTTTTTTTCGCCTTTTTGTTTTTTTTTTTTTTTTGAAGGAATTGAACATGGAGTTATCCCGAAAACTTGAAGCTCAAACACAAAAATTAGAACTTTTGACTGCTCAAAGTATGGCACATGAGAGTGTCCCTGCAAGAAGACAGGAGGATCCCCAGACCATGCATGACAACGCTGCTTATGCAGATGAAGGTGATGAGGTACCATATCTATTAGCAAGTAATTACTTGTTTAGAATGGAAATTGTTTGTGGAGCCAAAAAGTTTTATTCTGCATCATGTGTAAAAAATGTGCGGATGGAAGTGTTAACAACCTTAAATGGTCAATAGTTGTTCGGGGCTCAATATTTGGTTTGAGCAGAGTCCATATTTAGGTCAGCTTAACACAGTAAAGCAAAACTACATGTAAAAATGTGATGTATAATATGTAGTCAGCTTGTCCTTGTTTGTGGAACATCCTTGAGAGTGAAGAATCTTTGGGGATTGCATATATTAGGTAATCTGTAGATCTCTCTATGCATCCCTAAGTTAGTTTTAAATATGATAATTTGCTTGTCCTTCTAACTAGGTGGTGGAAAGGGTGTTGGGATGGATAATGAAGCTCTTTCCAGGAGGGCCATCAAGGCGGCGAACCAGCAGGCTGCTTTGATTTATGAGTCGAATATTCATCAACGGAAGCTCATGTGCAGATATCTATCTGCTCCTCACCCCCTCCACCCTTATTCTTTGGTGGTATAACAAATGTATATTGCGAGTCAATTGATTTTTTAGAGAGAAATTTTTGAGAGGCCTTTTGGTCAACTGGAAGGTGCGATTGTCATCTCTCAACATATCTGGCAATAAAGATGGACCCTTGGTGCTGTTAGTGGTTCAAGTTGGTCTATCAAATTTTAGCGGGAAATTTATTGCAAATGAGTGAAAAGGAAATTTACCTGTGTTTTTTGGTTTTTCTCTTCTTCATATCTGTTTGTGTTGAAGGACATGGGCTTAAGCACAATATATGAAAGAAATTGTTTTCATGTTTTTTGACGATTTCTTTTTACACTTGAATTGTAATGGAATTGAGCCCAGCTGGTTTTGTAATAGTTTTTTTTAGTTGGTACTCACACACACGTCTCTTATAAGACTTAAACCTCTAACCTCTCTTTGGAAAGTAAGAGGCTGATATTGCTAGGCCACTAGTTCGTTAGTTCTGTAATAGTTTTCATTAATTATCCTTGAAGTGGAGAAACCGTTGGTAAGGTCTATTTGATTTAGTTATGGGAGAGAACATCTTTCAATTTTTTCAAAACTATAAAAATCAAATAATTTACATGTATATATATACTCATATGTGTGTGTTTATATATATATATATATATATATATATATATATATCCTATAAAATTGTATTCTATTTCTATTTTTTATATACACTTTTTGGTATTATTAATATGCTCAATTTAAATATTGTAGATTTTTCGATTTTTAAAAATGTATACACAGTTTTTGGTTATAAAAAATATTTATACAATTTTCTACATTGTCAGTTTTATTTTAAAAATTATAAAAAAAATTAAACAGTTTCCTTTCAGTTCTTATTTTCTCAATATTTTTTAACAATAAAAAATAAATCTAACTCAACTTCAAAGCATACCTAGAAAAGCCAGTATTTTGTTGATGCAGAAAACTCAATGCCTATAAAAGAGTTGTCATATTTTTTCTTTAAATTACAAAAATGTTATACCGACGTTACCGTTTTCAAAGAGTTGTCAAATTTCTCTTTATTAACTGTCACTTTTCTTTCTTTTTTTACTTTCCTTTCTTTTTTTTTTCCTCGCAAAGAGTTTTTGTCTTGAGGAGTTTCTCTTCATTAAACATCAGACCTATTATTCTAAATTTTACAACTCTACAAACCTAAAAATATATTCCATTCCAGTCTTTTACTTTGAAAAAAAAAAAAAATTGTATAGAGAAGAATTTTTGGAAAGAAAAAAACATAGGAGGTATACAGAGAGGGATTAAAAAGCCATAGGTAGTTGGGTTCAAAGCCTCATTGTAATGTCATGTGGTTTATGAAAACATTAACGTGTAACTTTTCAATGAAAAACAACGTACATTCAAATCTGTTAAAAAAAAAAAAATCTTTTGAATTTTATTACACTTAGATTGAAAACAATGAAAGAAATTTGTTTTAAAAAATATTTAAAATTTTATTATTATCCTTTTTCAAACCTTTTCTTTAAAAATTTATTACAGTTGTATAAGTTCGGCCTTTTTAGATATATGATTAGTAAAAGTAAACCTACATATGTTGACTTCTTTTTTTCCCAAATGTGTTGACATATGATCAAAGAAAACATTGCTGTAACTTTTAGTATTTGTTTTAGTTTAAAGTTATATTACTAAAACTATTTTGAAAACATTACTGTAATTATGTGTGTATTTATATATATATTGGGCTGGGCCAGGCCCAAGGGCAGCTGCCCAACCCAACCCAAAACACCTTGCTGGGGCGGGCCAACCCAGTCTAAAATTTTTAAAATTTGGACTTTTAAATTCACAAATTGGGCTCAAATTGGGTTGAGTTTTCTCAAAACTAGACATGTTCTAGTTGGGCTCGGGCTCAACCCGAACTCAACCCAAAACCCCAACAAACTAAATTTTTAAAATCAGTTGGTTGCCTGTGGTTCACTTTGTCAGGATAATTGCTATTTGATAATTTTGATTCCTAGAATGCTCAATTTTGATTCCTAGAATGCTCACTTTGTACATGTTCACATTTGCATGTATTCTGTGGAGTATAAACTTGAAATCTTATTCTATTTTATGTTAAACTAAGATGAGTAGGTAAATTTGATTTTAAAACTTGACTTCATCGTTAAAAAGTAATTAAATGTATGAGTAAATGTGGATATGTGTTATAATTTGAGAGGGAGAAAAGCAATACAAGCTCGGAAAAGAACCTCAGAGAAAATGTGGGATTAAACCGAGGATGAAAAGAAAACTGGTTGGCATATTTATAAGGGCACTGTAAAGAAATTTGAGAGGGTGACACGAATTGTGAATGCAAAAGCAAGAAACATGCCTTTTTTTTGGCACAAAATAAAGGGTAGTCAGGGACAGACCCAAATGGGCCCCTAGATAGTTGGAGACTATGCCTCAAATTTAGAAAATTTGACTCCGTCAAAATAACTCAAAAAGGATTTCTAATCCAGGTCATAATATATTCTTAATAGAAAGCTGACAGCGATTATTACTGATGAATCTACTAAAAGAATTTAATTTTGTGAATCCCAAACTCAACATGGCTACTACAAGAATTGCAAAACCTTTTAGAAATCTTGATTTTGTTGGGGAATTTATAGCTGGATAATTGAAGAATAAAGTTTCATTTAGCAAAGAAATGAAAAAAGTTATCGACTTAACTGAATTAGAAAATACAAAATATCTTTTTCAGCAGGGTTCTTAGTCGCTTGATCGTTGGGATCCGAGCGACAGGATTAGCTATTCCCACACTCCCATCACCGCCTTCCGAACCAAACAATCCCGATTTCACTCACAAGCAACAGATTTGACTCATTTTCCGTATATATGAGATCAAACTTTTGCAATTGACTGAGAAATTCAAGTACAAAACAACATCATTATTGTGAATTAACTGAATTAGAAGATACAAAAGGAATGCAATTACAAAAACATCATCATCCTTGTTCTAATTCCATATGAAAGGAGTTGACCACATGAATTTTTTTTCTCCAACATTTTCTATTACACTTCATTTCACCTACTATATGTAATTTTTTAAAGTCATTTTTAATAACCTCATCCCATGTTATTTTTTGTCATCCTCTCTGTCTCTTATCTTCTATTATAACTAGTCTTTCTCGTTTGACTGGCGCATTTCTAAATCTCCGATCTAAAATTTAGTTTTGGCCTTATGTAATACATTCAATGGATAAAAAACTTTCGATTAGATTATTAGGTCATTATTATGTCATGCCAATATTCGGACAGACTAATAGGTCATTATAATGTCATTCCAATATCCTCAATTATTTGCAAAAAAAGTTCTGTTATTTCATTTGTTATTACTGCAACTCGAAAGGTCTACAGACTTTTAACACGTGTGTAAAAAATTGTAGAGTGTTGGAGAATTCTAAAAAGGTCTAGTAATATGTAAAGTAGACAATATTTAAAAAGAAAAGAGAAAAAAATAAAAAGTTATGCAAAGTGGTAAACATCTCAAATATTTTTAGAAGATAATTCTAAAGAATAAATCTTATAATGTATTCTAGTAGTTCATTAAGAAGAAAGATAGCTTATATAAAGAGTGGACGTGTCATTTGTAACACAACTATTGATAGCAAGTATAGAGCTAAAAGTAAGATTAAATTTATCCATAATATATTCTTTTGCGCAAACTACAATATTTTCATAATCAGATTTGAACTTGAGATTTCAATACAATAATTTAAAAGTCTTGTATAATGTTGTTGAGATTCGTTAAAATGCTTTTAAGATGGACCCTTGTTGCTGTTAGTGGTTTAAGTTGGTCCATCAAATTTAGCGGGAAATTTATTGCATATGGGTGAAAAGAAAACTTACGGAGATTGAACTATGAATATTTTTGTTTTCTTGTTTTTCTCTTCTTCATATTTGTTTCTAAGCGTGTTTCTGGACATGGGCTTAAGCCCAATATATGGAAGAACTATTCTGTCATTTTTTTTTGAGGATTTCTTTTCACACATGAATTGTAATGGAATTGAGCCCCGCTGGTTCTATAATAGTTTTCATTAATTATCCTCCAAGTTGAGAATTTGTTTCAGTTATGGGAGAGAGAACATTTTTCAATTTTTTCACAATTATAAAAATTAAATAATTGTACAAAATTATGTTTGTACAAGTATGTATATATATACTCATGCATATTTGTGTTTATATATATACCTCCCTGCTGAGCAGGGGGCAATATACTCACTTTTAGTCATTGTCTTAGTATCTAATCCACCAGCTATTGAAAACAATAATTATTTTAGGTAATTAACATTTTATTATAATTAACTATTAATTATGAAATGACTATATTAGATACATTCTTAAAGAAAAAAAATATATATTACTTCATCGCCACTGTCAACTCTACCCTGCCACCACCTCCCCCACCACACCACCTCCATCCAGACAGATTTGATGGCTACTTTTGACTAAGAATTACCAAAATCTACAACTTAAAGGCCTTGCATCTATATCCCATCATTAATCATAATTATTATGAGAAAGTCACAAGAACCTAATAGAAAAAACTTATCATGACCAAGAATACATCTTTAAATTCATGTCCTTATAGTTATTAGTGTATGTGGTGGTGGTGGGTGGCAGTGTCGTGATGTGCTTGGGGGAGGTGGTCGTGGCAGTGGTGGAGGAGGTGGGTGGTGGTGACGGATCGACAGTGGTGGAAATGGGCACAGTTAAAATTTAATTAGATTAAAAAAATTATTATTATTATTTTAAAAAAAGTATCTAATATAGTCATTTCATAATTAATGACTAATTAAAAGAATGTTAATTTCCTAAAATAATTATTCGTACCAATAGCCGTTGGATTAGATCTAAGGCAATGAGTAAAAGTGAGTATATTATTTCCTGCTCACTAGAGAGCAATTGGACACTACTGATGATATATATATAAATATATCCTTTTAAACTAAAATATTGTTAGAACTAAATTTGAACTTGAGATTTCAATGTGGTAATCTTGAAGTCTTGTATAAGGTTGTTGAGATTCGTTAAAATGCTTTTAAGTGAGTTAACTAATGCCCAATGTACTGAAATTTTAAACCCTTTTTCAGGGATTTTTTTTTTTTTTTTTTCTTCTCTTCCTTGAGTCGATTATCTTTCTAACTCAACTTCGAAAATATTATTATCATAATTTTTGTAGCCCCAAAAGGATGAGGCTACTACATGAATTCTAATTTCAATTTTATGCCATTCTCTTCTTCAAATCAAAAGATATTTTGTTGTTTTTGTTTTTTAAATAGAAAATTATTCTTAAAAGAAAAAATGATATCAAACAAACTCTATTCACTATTTTTTTACAATATTATATCATTCATTTATGAAAAAACCTTCAATATAACGGTGATACCATTTTATGAAATTGAAATAGTATCAATTAATTAATTTTTTATGAAACTGAAATAGTATGATGAATTAATTACAAAATGACATATTATCACCCTTGCATGGATTGATTTATTTATTTATTATTATTATTTTTGTAATAGCTTTGCCAAAAAAAATAAATCAATATGTTTGATGATGGTTAGGACTTCATACGACGTCGTGATGGATAAGGCGCGAGATATATAACCGATCATTTCCACCATTGGTCATGTGTATTTGTGTGGCGCACAAGCATTCTGCCCTCTCTTGCCATGGCTATTGTCAGTGCGAGGCTCTGTTCCTTGCCTCTCTCACTATCTATTGTTTCCTCATCTTCATCTTCGTATGAAGGTATTTCCCAACACCCTCTCTCTCTTTCTCTATCACTTTCTCTCTCTTCATATATGTATATATATGAATTCTTGAATCCCAATGTTGTTGGTTTGATGGTGACAGATGCAAAGCCGAACCCAAATGCAGTGAAGCTACGACAGGACTGGAGGAAACGGTCCAGACCCATTCCTCCGGGTGGGACCTATCCGGCTAAGGACCATTGCAGGTTCTTACTTTGCAACTTTGTTCACACACATGCAAATTTTATTTTGGGCCTTTTCATAGTAATTTTCTATTTTTAGGAATTTTCGGGTTAGTTTCAAAATGTTATGAATTTTACTACTAATATTTAAATATTTGTTTTTTTTTTGGGCAGTCAATGCGGTTTATGTGATACTTATTATGTAGCCCATGTGAAGAATGCTTGTGCTTTCTTAGGAGATGGCATGTCTAAAATTGAAGTAAGTACTTTTTTTTTTTCTTTCAATTTTTAATTTCATTTTGTAATGTGTGAGTTTCTATTTACTTTGATCCCTCAAATCATTTATTTCATTGAATTGCTCCTTAATTTTTATCTACTGAAATAATGGGGAGTTTTCAGAGTCTATCAAGAAGAATCTCACACATAAACATACACATAAGTAGAAGAAATCTATTGTAATGAGTCAAATTTCATTTCCCTGTTACGTGTTTTGATCAAGCTAAAAATTGATCGATTTATTCCACGAAACCAAAAAATTTACTGCAGTTGGTGGGACTTTTTTTTTTATGTGCAAAGTCTCAAGAATGCTTCTCTGGACACGAGCCAAAGCACTCATATATCACAAATTTCTTTGCCTCTGGCAATGCATGAACAACCCAGGACTAAATCATAGGCTATGATAATTGTCATAAAATAAGGATGATTCATTGACTTTGAAATATACTAAGGTTGGACCTAATGTTTTGAGAAACCTTACACCTCTACACTGAAGCATTTGTTCTGAAGTTCCAAAATACTTTCGAATACCCCAAGACTGAATCATTGGCTCTAATATCAGTTGTTGCATGATACCAATATTTTTCCGCTGTCTCTACTACTTGTGACTATCTCTAATGAAGCTGGGTCAAGGTAACATACTCACACAAAGATTCAATAACCAATTGTAGTTATGAAGAAATAAACTAGCAAACATGCAAGACACATGGTATATTATATGCTCCAGTGAAAACCAATTTACATTTATGGATGAAAGAGGGTTTCACTATGAGCAGTGGTAGATTTTATAGAAAAAAGATAAACAGCAGTGGATGACCTTAATTGTGACAAAACATATGGAGATGATATTGATGATAATGAGTGACAATAAATGGGAATTTTATTTAACGCAAGTACATCACAACTTACCTATCTATCATGTTGATTTTTGAGCCCTAGTCCTCAAATCTTGATTATAGTACTTTTTTTTTGTGAGACTTTGGTTGTAATATATTAACAGTTATTTAACTTTTTGATGGCCAAATATTATTTCAATATGATTGGTTAAAATATAGGAGATATCGAAGTTAAGTGTCATCCTGGTTATCTAACATGTTGTATCTTCTTTCTTATTACTGAAGTATATGCTGAGTTGATCTCCCTTTGTTGTATATTAGAGTCAGGAAAATGTGGTCCATGGCCGAGGGAGGAAAAAAGATTCACTAGATGAGATGTACTTGGGGGTCTATGAGGAGCTGTTATATGCTCGTAAAACTAAGCCTGTAGAAGGTAAGTTATTTGAACTTTTAAAATTTATCAATAGCGGTTTGATTCTTTTTACTATTGCTTTTCTCTCTCTCAAGTTCTTTTCTTTGTTCCCCGCCCGCCCCACATTTTTATTTTTCTTCTTCTTTATTTATTTATTTTTATTTGTTTGAGATAGAGTGCATTGATTCTGTGAATGTTGTATGAAAGTGAAGAGAGGAAAAGAAGAAAGTTTAATGACATGTACTTTTTTTTAAAATTTTTTTTATATAGGCCCCATTTGTGGTTTGGCCTCATGTTTGGTTTTTGATAATTTTTAGTTCTTAACGTAAGTATTGTATAAGAGAATAATGGGAGCTTTTATTGAGATTTCGTGAACACCATTATGTTGATTCTTAGAGTGTATGTATTATTAGCAATAAAAAAGTAAGGTTGTGAATTTTTTATTTATTATCTTAATTTAATTTATTTACTCCCTCTGTCCCATATTAATTGTCTACCTTTCCATTTTTAGCTGTCCCAATTGAGTACTATTTTTTGTAACATTACCAATTTAACCTTCTTCCATTGAGCTTATAAAAACAGCTAAAGTATAATACATGACACCATTGTGGACCCACCACGGGTAGATTTGATAATTCATTCATTACCAATACAATAAAAAACACTAAAAGACACCATCTTAAAAAGTTAGGTTCCCAAAAAGTGACGATTAAAATGGGATGGAGGGAGTACAACTTATAACAATCTCAAATAGTTCATTTTCCTTTGGCAAAGATATTGGTCTGTGACCCCAACAATTGTTTGTACTTCATTCATGTCAAACCTTTTTTTTGGATTTACTATTCTACGGTTTTGAAGGTGAAGATTACTTCTTCTTCTTTTTCTGTCATTTGAAGTGTCATAATGACCATGACAGGGATCATTGTTTTCATACAAGTTTTTAGTGCTTTGAAATTAAATGACCGCTGTGCATTTGTTTTAATTACTGTTAATCATTAAGAAAAATTAAATTATAAATTTAGATTCTTTCATATTTGCATAAATGTTAATACTTTTTAATGTTATTGTTAGAAGTATTAAAATCTAAGCAATCACTTCAAAATTCTGAGGTGGGGAGGTGAGTGTTAGATAGTACAAACTTGAGAAGAAGTCACTTTAATTTAGAAAACTAAGTAAGTGAGCAGTAATAGATTCTCAAAACCTCAGTTGAGATAACTGATTATATTTTTTTTTGATGCTGTGTATCTAATTTCAGTTATTTTTCCCTAAAAAATTTTATTTCAAAAAATTGTAAAATTTCTTGCACTACCAAAGTACATTTTTGCACTTGGAATTTTTTTTTCTTTTCTATCAAATCTTGTTGGCCTGGGTACATTTCTTCACTTTCTTTTCATTACAGCTTATGCAGAATATTTACATCATCTTCTCATGTCTAAATGCATCTATTACTTTTATCTATATTGATCTTGAGGTTAAATGATAATTGACTAGCTTGATTAATTAATCCTTCATCAATTTATTTATTTGGTAGGAGCTCAGTGGACAGGGATAGTAACAACAATTGCAATTGAAATGTTGAAAGCGGGGATGGTAGAAGCTGTTATTTGTGTGCAGAGGTAGTGGCACACATTTACTGTAGCAATAATGAATAGGCTTCGCTGTTATTGTTTTGTGTTGAAAAAGAGATATTTGGTTTTAATAAGACCATATTTTAGGGGATATGATAGGCGTGTAAATATAGATAGTCAATGACCAGATTTTAGGGGATATTTTAGTGTATAACCTATAGCTTCTATTAGTGCACAGCCTGTAGCTTCTGTTAGTATACAGCCTGTAATTACAGCCTGTAGTTTGCTGTCACAGCTTGTAGTCAGCTTGTAGTTTCCTTTTTTTAGCCCCTTGTATGTCCTATTTAACTAAAGCATTGTAAACCATTCAAAGGAAGGCAATATACAGATTTTCTTTCAATCTTGAAATCGCCTATTTGGTATCAGAGCATCTTACCGATTCTTCTGAAAAAAAAACCCCTAGCTGTTCCTTTTTTTTCTCTTCCAAACAACTCTAATCACCATGTCTGATGACATACCTGAGTCCAAGACCAAGACCTTTGAGTCCCAAGTCCAAAACTCTCAGACACACTCGGTCCAGATTACCACAATTCGGCTAAATGGTGAAAACTTCCTTCGCTGGTCCCAGTCCGTGCGGATGTATATCCGAGGCAGAGGCAAAATCAGCTACCTAACAGGAGAAAAGAAGGAACCAAAACCTGAAGATCCATCCTACTCGACCTGGGATGCAGAGAATTCGATGGTGATGACCTGGTTGGTGAATTCTATGGAGGAGGACATCAGTTCTAATTATATGTGTTACCACACAGCAAAAGAACTTTGGGACAATGTCAACCAAATGTATTCAGACCTAGGAAATCAGTCTCAAGTCTATGAACTAACGCTGAAACTCGGAGAGATCCGTCAAGGAGATAACAGTGTTACAAAATATTTCAACTCTCTGAAACGTTTGTGGCAGGACCTAGATTTGTTCAGCGATTATGAGTGGAAATCGCCTGAAGATTGCAACCATTACAAAAAGAAGGTGGAAGACAACCGCATCTTCAAGTTTCTCATTGGACTCAATGTCGAGTTTGATGAAGTGAGAGGCAGAATAATTGGACGACAACCCTTGCCTTTAATCGGTGAAGTCTTCTCCGAGGTTCGAAGAGAGGAAAGTCGCAGGCTGGTCATGCTTGGAAAAAAGTTATCAAATGGTGCTGTTGAGACCTCTGCCTTGGTCGCATCTGAAGCGAATATTGGCAGGAAACATAATGAAAAGCCCCGTCTTTGGTGTGACCACTGCAACAAGCCTCACCATACCCGTGAAACCTGCTGGAAAATTCATGGTAAACCAGCGAATTGGAAGAGTAAGTAGGAAGGCAGATTCAACCAGGAAGGCAGATTCAACCGAGCCCCATCAGCTCATGAAGCCGAGGCACTTCCCTTCAGCAAAGAACAGATGGATCATCTTCTAAAATTGCTGAAATTCAATTCCTCATCTGGTACTCCTAATGTTTCTCTTGCTCAAACAGGTAACAACCCGAAGGCCTTATCTTGTCGTTCAAATTCCAGTGTTACCCCATGGATCATTGATTCAGGGGCTTCTGACCATATGACAAGTTGTTCTCATTTATTTCAAACTTATTCACCCTGTTCTGGCTCTGAAAAAAAAATCAGAATAGCTGATGGTTCTTATTCTCCTATTGCAGGCAAAGGTTTAGTGAAACTTTCAAAAATTATTGATCTTAAGTCTGTCCTTCATGTCCCTAAGCTTGCTTGTAACCTTTTATCAGTTAGTAAATTGTCCAAAGACTCTAATTGTCGTGTTATCTTTTTTGAATCCTATTGTGAATTTCAGGACCAGAGCTTGGGGAAGACGATTGGCAGTGCTAAGATGATAGATGGTCTCTACTATTTTGAAGATGATATTTCAAGTAATAAAAAGGCTCAAGGTTTGAGTAGTTTTCGTTCTATCCCTGTTAGAGAACAAATAATGCTATGGCATTTTAGACTAGGGCATCCTAGTTTCCCTTATCTTAAAAAATTATTTCCTTCTTTGTTTAAAGGATTGGATTGTTCATCTTTTTATTGTGAGAATTGTTTTTTATCAAAGAGTCATCGTACTACGTATTCTCCTAAACCTTACCAAACATCAAAACCATTTTATTTAATCCATAGCGATGTTTGGGGCCCTTCTAGGATCACAACTCTTTCTGGAAAAAAATTGTTTGTGACTTTTATTGATGATCATACACGTTTGTGTTGGGTGTATTTAATGAATGAAAAATCTGAAGTTGAAAAATTATTCAAGGATTTTTATATGATGATTGAAAATCAATTTCAAACAAAAATTGGCATTCTTCATACTGATAATGGCACCGAATACTTTAATGAAGTTTTAGGAAGTTTTTTAACAAAAAAAGGAATTTTTCACCAATCCACTTGTGTTGACACACCCCAACAAAACGGAATTGCTGAAAGAAAGAATAAACATTTACTTGAAGTTTCTCGTGCCATCATGTTTTCAATGAATGTTCCTAAGTATTTGTGGGGTGAAGCCGTTTTGACAGCAACATATTTGATTAACAGGATGCCTACTCGTGTTCTTAACTATTTTACACCCCTTGAAAGCCTTAAAAAATCTTTTCCTGAAACTCGGATTTATTCGAACCTGCCTTTGAAAGTATTTGGGTGCACTGTCTTTGTCCATTTACCTAGTAGACTTCGATCTAAATTGGATCCTCGGGCTGAAAAATGTGTATTTGTTGGGTATGCCCCGAATAAAAAGGGGTACAAATGCTTCAATCCGACAAAAAAAAAAATGTTTATCAGTATGGATGTTTTTTTTCTAGAAAATCATCCTTATTTTCAGAAAACTTTTCTTCAGGGGGAGAAAGAGAGTGAAGAAAATTTTTGGGAGATTTCTACTAATATTCCCTTACCTAAAACTATTGTCTCACACTCTACTCCAAACACTGATCTTTTTAAACAAGAAAATGATGTTCTAGAATCAGGAAACCCGGGGCCTCCTAGTCCTAATCTGCCGAGCCTTACTGTATCTCCAACAGGGGGAGAAATCCTACCAACGGTTCCAAAAAAACCGAATCCTGAGCTTCTGGTTTATAACAGAAAAAAGACTCATCAAAAGAGTAGAAAGCCTACTATTGTACCTGAGCAAGGCCAATCAGAGGTCCCGAGCAATGACTCCCTGAACACTGAAGGTACTCTAAATCCTAACTTGTCTACAGTTGTCCCTACTATTTCTAATCGTACAGAGACACCTAGCCAAGTTCCTGTAGACCTTGATATCCCTATAGCTGTTAGAAAAGGAATCCGAACCTGTACCCAGCATCCCATTGCCAAATACTTGTCTTATGATAAACTTTCCCATAAACATAGGGCCTTTACTTCAAATATTTCTCACTTGTTTGTTCCAAGAAACATTCAGGAAGTACTAGATGATCCGAATTGGAAATCAGCAGTGTTAGAGGAGATGAATGCTCTTAAAAGGAGTGGAACGTGGGAAATAGTTGACTTACCCAAAGGAAAGAAAACTGTTGGGTGTAAATGGGTTTTCACTATTAAGTGTAAAGCTGATGGTAGTGTGGAAAGGTACAAGGCAAGACTTGTGGCGAAAGGTTTTACGCAAACGTACGGCATTGATTACCAAGAGACGTTTGCTCCTGTAGCAAAAATAAATTCTATCCGAGTCTTATTGTCGTTGGCAGTCAATTCTAATTGGCCATTACATCAATTGGACATAAAAAATGCCTTTTTAAATGGAGACTTGGAAGAAGAAGTGTTTATGAGCTTGCCACCTGGGTTCGAAGGAAAACACAGTCAGAGCAAAGTCTGTAAACTCAAAAAATCCCTGTACGGTTTGAAACAGTCTCCAAGAGCGTGGTTTGAACGTTTTGGAAAGGCTGTGAAGAGTCATGGGTATCATCAGAGTCAGGCAGACCATACCATGTTCTACAAACACGGTGAGGAAGGGAAAATTGCCATTTTAATTGTGTATGTGGATGATATAATTTTGACAGGTGATGACATTGAAGAGTTGACCAGACTGAAGAAGAAACTTGCTAAAGATTTTGAAGTCAAGGATCTGGGAGCATTAAAATACTTCCTTGGAATGGAATTTGCCAAGTCAAGAGAAGGAATTTTCGTGAATCAACGAAAATATGTACTTGATTTGCTTAATGAGACAGGACTACTCGGGTGTAAAGCTGCTGACACTCCAATTGAAGTCAACCTGAAGTTAGAAGCTGCCGAACCCGAGAATATGGTTGATCGTGAAAGATATCAGAGATTGGTGGGAAGACTAATTTACTTATCTCACACACGCCCAGATATAGCATTTGCAGTCAGTATGGTGAGTCAGTTCATGCACTCTCCTGGACAGGAACACTTTGAAGCAGTGTACAAGATTCTGAGGTACTTAAAGGGCTCACCAGGTAAAGGACTTATGTTCAAGAAACAAGGTCATTTACAAGTGGAGGTGTACACAGATGCTGATTGGGCAGGCAGTATAGTTGATAGACGATCTACCTCAGGATATTGCACCTTCGTTGGAGGAAACTTAGTCACGTGGCGAAGCAAGAAACAAAATGTAGTAGCGAGGAGTAGTGCAGAAGCCGAGTTCAGAGCACTCGCCCATGGGATTTGCGAAGCTATATGGTTAAAAAGACTCCTTGAAGATTTGAAGGTTATTGTTTCTCCTCCAATGAGAGTCTACTGTGACAACAAAGCTGCCATTTCAATTGCTCATAATCCAGTCCTCCACGACAGAACCAAACATGTGGAAGTTGACAAACACTTTATCAAGGAAAAGCTTGACTGTGGTATGATTTGCATTCCTTATGTCTCTACTACTGAACAAGCTGCAGACATCCTTACCAAAGGACTACACAAGAAACAGTTTGAAGTTTTAAGAAGCAAGCTAGCTATGGAAGACATCTACAAGCCAGCTTGAGGGGGAGTGTTGAAAAAGAGATATTTGGTTTTAATAAGACCATATTTTAGGGGATATGATAGGCGTGTAAATATAGATAGTCAATGACCAGATTTTAGGGGATATTTTAGTGTATAACCTATAGCTTCTATTAGTGCACAGCCTGTAGCTTCTGTTAGTATACAGCCTGTAATTACAGCCTGTAGTTTGCTGTCACAGCTTGTAGTCAGCTTGTAGTTTCCTTTTTTTAGCCCCTTGTATGTCCTATTTAACTAAAGCATTGTAAACCATTCAAAGGAAGGCAATATACAGATTTTCTTTCAATCTTGAAATCGCCTATTTTTTGTTAAAGCTATTTTCAGATATTTATTAATTTGTGAACCTTTGTCATTTTGGTCTTGCTATGTTAATTATCTCAGTGATCCTGAGGATAGACTTGCTCCAAGACCAGTTTTGGCGAGGTTTGCTGCTAGACTTTGTATCTTTTTTTTCAAATGATAAATTTGCTTCCATAATCTTTTTTAGATTCATTTATTTTTTAACTTCCGTTCGTGATCTAGTTAATTTTTCTAATAGGACACCGGAGGAAGTTCTAGCGGCTAGAGGTGTTAAGCCAACATTATCTCCTAACCTGAATACACTTGCATTGGTTGAGGTGCTTTCTATCACTTGTTAGGAAGAAAAAAAAAGCTCTTTTTACTTTCCCTCATTATATTTTAATATTCATACTCTTTGTTATTGATGTGTTATGAGTAGAGTACTTTGCATCAATTCTTTTTCTTCAAGTAGTTGTAAGGCTCTATATAGCTTTAGTGTAGGCATCTTAGGGCCGAACTTTAAGTCTTGGGTTTCCTAGCATGTTCAGTCATCCCTTAAATATCAGTTGGACATTGTGTTTGACTCCAAAAGACATCCTTTTTGATTTTATTTATTATTGTTTAATTGGACATGGAAGCATATTGGGAAAAGGGAGAAGAGATGCAACAGAAAAAGGGAAATATTTTCTCTACCAAGAAAGCGAACAGGAAAAGTGGCACATGGAAATGAATAGAACTAGAAAAAAGAAGGCCTAATACATCAAGATATGTAGGCATACTATCATTATCAAAAGCCTCCAAAATAAGCTCACGACTCTATAAAAAGTATATCTGCCTCCATATTGCTGGAACACGGATTTTTATGAATGGTACTAACCGGAATTCAGGATTTGCCTGTCAATTTTTTAATACGGGCTTGATTCTTGTGCTTGAAATTACCATTGTTAATCCACTATATTACATTACGTCAATCTCCTGCTGCTTGGAAATTTTAAAACTCTTATTTTTAGCCTCCTTTGGGTCTACAACTAGGGATTCAGTTTCAGTCATATTTTCTGCTAGTGCTCTAAAAGCTTTAAATAAGCGAAGTGGATGCTGTTTTTGCCATATATCATGGTATCTGCAATGCCCAAATTGACTTGGGTTACCAATGAAGCTACAATCATAGTTATTAATGACTTATGGTGCAGTAAGGCGACTAGGTCTCATAGAGCTTAAGTGTAAGGCGAAGAAGCACGTGCATGTGATTGAAATAAATTGACTTGGGTTACCAATGAAGCTACAATCATAGTTATTAATGGCTTACGGTGCAGTAAGGCGACTAGGTCTCATAGAGGCATAGAGCTTAAGTGTAAGGCGAAGAAGCACGTGCATGTGATTGAAATATGTATATATATAAAATATATGTATAGTTGAAACAATTCAAAACATGTGACACCAACCAAGATAAGGTCCAACAGAGAATTTTTTTGGCATAACAATTAAGAGAGTTAGCTAAATCAATGTAGATATGTCATTTTAATACACACACACACACACACACATATATATGTTCATTCAACTAAATCAAATCCCATGAATTGTGCAACCATAAAAGGCTACAATCAGATAGATTTTAAATATATTATTTAAAGCATTTAGAAACAAGTTTTTGATGCATGTTATTCATGTAATCAACAATAAGCCCATAAGTCCCAAATACCATATACCAAGTATATGATACAATTAAAGAACATGATAATATCTCACAAGACCATTATATGATGTTAAATTAAGGTTTGCTTTTCTTGGGCACGAAAAGAAGGAAAGGGAAAAGATACAATTGATGATTAAAAAAAATTAAGGTGTGTTTTTCTTGAGCATGGGACGCACTACGAATCAGGTCTAAGAACTTTGTTGTGTTCAACTGAAGGGGCGCCTTATTTCTCTGAATGAGGTGTTACGGCTGAGATGACCAGCTCGGTGCTTTTTAGGGCTTAGGCACAACTTTAACAACTATGGCTACGACCAAAGTAAACCTTTCCAACAAGATGTAAATGGATAGCTCAAGAATGGCGATGGTGATCTTTTATAAGAGCCGTACATCATAACATATTCCCAAGAACAAATTACAGATGCGGAAACATATTTAGAAACCTTAGAAACGGAGGGCTGTACTTAGAATTCACTAATGATTTTTGTCATTAATATCACTTCGGAATTCATAGGTATCTTTTTTGATTTCAGATAGGAATCTGTGCCAAGTAATGGTAAAACCATTTCATTTAAACAAAGGCTAAACCTTAATTCAGAAGTTGTAAACAATTTATTTTTGGATTAATTTCACTGACACCCCCTCAGGTTTGGCCAAATATCACACTGGAACAACTTTTGAAAATTACTATTACCCATACTGCAAATGTTTGTTCCGTTTTTCACTCACACCCCAAGTGTCACATGCCGAGCTCTAACACCATGTAAATTAACTAAAATACCCTTTGACTTTGTCAAAAGAGTTCTTTTACCTACAAAACTAGATTAAAAGACTAAATTATCCCTAAATTCTTTGCAATTTACAATTATATTATATATATATATATATCTATATTTATAAATGGGAAAGCTATTGTACAAAAGTACCCTCACTAAAATCTGCCACCTCATAAAAATTCTGGGTGTTTTGTAATTTTAAAAACTAAACCACTCAACTTCTCTCACGCAGCAAACCCTCTAAACCACACCGGCGGTGGAGGCGATGAGAATCGCTGTTTGGAACCGAACGGCAAAGTACAGGGTCCTAATCAATCAAATAAGGAATGCCTTTTTCGAATTTGAGGGGTCACAGTGCTTTTCTAACTAATTACCCCAAATGCCAACTCTTTCCATATTCTAGTTAGAAGACTTCCACCGTTCAGATGAACCAATTGTGAAAAAAAAATAAATAAATAAAAAAACCCAATTGAGAAATTCTCTTGAACACAAACCAATCAATCACAAACTAATTCAAGAAAAGAAGAAATTGAGACCATTCATGAACAAAATTTTGAGTTTTCTCTTCTGGGTTTTTATTTGCTTTCTCTAAACTCTAAATTTCATTTATTTTCATTGTTTTTCTTTCTGGGTTGCTTCTCTTTCTCTTCTAGGCTTCTGATATATATATATATATTCCCCTATTCTATTCAGAGGTAGTGGTGCCACCGGCAACTGTGGTTGTCTGTGTATAGGTAAATGTTGGTGTGTATTAGAGGGAGATAAGAAGATGGATTAGAGAGATGAAAAAAATAAATAAATAAAATAAACATAGTCCCTTCAGCAGAAGAGAGAGAGGAGAGGGGAGTGGTAGGTGAAGTGGGCCTTGACCTCCTTGTCGTCGATGCATCTGAAATTGCACTCCGCCGTCGCCGTCGCCGTCGCCGTCGCCGTCGTTGTTGGAAGGCCACCGAGCCTATTTGTATGTGTGTGTGTGTGTGTGTGTGTATATATATATGCACACATATATTTTAGAGAGAGAAATTATTGGGGGCAATGTTGTCTTTTTTAATTTTTTAATATTTTAGCTTAAAATAAATTTTAAAAATAAGGGTAGATTTGTCTTTTCGCACGTTTTTAACGGTGTTAGTGTCGGAAAAGTAAAATTGGACCTAAGTGATAGTAATTTTTGAAAGTTGTTTTGGAGTGATATTTGGCCAAACCTGAGGGGGTGTCAGTGAAATTAACCCTTTATTTTTTATATGAGAAATTTTTAATTAATGTATAATACTTTTGTAGATATTGTGAGGTGACTTAAAAAAAGGATCAAGCAAAGAGACACTACATGATGTCTTTCTAGTTACTTAATGCCTTAATCAACTTGTCAGATGCCACAGGATCTATTTGAAAGTTATGATTATTAGGGGTAACACTTATAATTTTCCAAGTCTATAGCTGTAGTTATAAAATTTGGAGAGTAAATTGTTGCTCTTGCTTCTTTGCTTGTGGACGTGATTGCTGTTAAAGAGCAGTTATAAACACCAAGACCTTTTGTTGTTATTTCTTCAAACAACAGGCTGCAGGTGTAAAGCGTCTTCTTTTCTGTGGTGTTGGCTGCCAAGTGCAAGGTATGCTTTATCATTTGGCATGTTCTGCGTTCACTTATTTTCTATGTTGTGACTTGTACTATTGTAATGCAGAGTCATTTCTTAACCTGCAGCATTAAGATCTGTGGAGCACCATTTAAATTTGGATAAGCTTTATGTTCTAGGCACCAATTGCGGTAACTTGAAACTTTATCTCCATCTCCTTGTATTTATACTTTGTCAAGATCTTTAGAGTACCATGCAAACTTGCTCGTTACCCTAATTACTGAAAATATTTGAAACCTTATAATGATCAGTACTAACACCACTTTTGTCAATAGTGGATAATGGAAAACGAGAAGGACTAGATAAATTTCTAAAGGCTGCCAGCAGTGAACCGGAAACAGTTCTTCATTACGAGTTTATGCAAGATTATAAGGTTTGGACTGAATAATTATCCATGTTCTTGTTCTGTTTATCAAGTTTATGGTGGCAAAATCATATGCATAACATATAATTAGCGTGCAATGAGGCCTTAAAGTTCACGCCAAATCAAATTATTACTAATAAAAGGTGCTAATAATCTTGGCCGATCAAATTATGATTAGTGTGTAATGAGGCCTTATGGAATAGTGTGCAATGAAGCCTTGTTGACTGAATAATCTTACCTTTTGAAGAACAGAATGAGCTTCAGAAGGAGTTGTTCATTCTTGGAAAAAGGTGCTGGCAATACATGACTAGTGTGCAATGAGGCCTTATGGTTCAAGCCAGACCAACTTATTACTAACATTAATGGCAGATACCTGATTATTTACTCCATCTAGCTGCCAGTAATTTGTTTAATTTTTAATTTTCATTAGTGAGCTTTTACGGAAAATGGTACCACTTTTATCTAATTGCAGAAAGCATGATATCTGTATGTTTATATATTTTTTAATAGTTAATACTTTATATATCTTTTGTAGGTCCATTTGAAGCATTTGGATGGCCATATTGAAGAGGTAACATGATCCCTGCACTTCTGATTTGGCTTTAATTCTATCTATCATGCTGCTTCATCCAACTTTAAATTTAACTAAAACAGGTTCCCTATTTCTGTCTACCAGCAAATGAGTTAGTTGATGTCATCGCCCCATCTTGCTATAGGTAATTATTGTTGTTTATTTCTCTATCATCTAGTATTCTTTTGTTTTCCCAATCATTTAGAATCAAAGAGAAAAGATTCTATCAGGAAAATGATTTGTACCATTGTTTGTGTTGCTGTTTGCGTCTTCTTAATAGTTAGTTCTACACTGAAAATTAATTGAGCTCATCATGCTGAGGTTGAGAAGAATTTGTAGTGGATTCTAATAGTTGCGTGATCTTTTTTGGATCTTTGAGCTGCTGATAATTCTAACTGCTCTATACTTTATTTTTTTATTTTTTTGAAATAAATAAGGTTCCACTAAAGGCACCAAAATAGGTTGCAGCACACATACACATGATATATACAAAAACTATACCAAAATACATGTTACCCAAACCATCTGATTGTTGTATATAAAGTTATAAACCATCTAACCGTTTCAGTTGCATTGAGAGTGAGAATAATGTTTTTAGATTGCATGAGATCAAGGGAGAAAAGATTCATTGAGAAGCATGTTCTTTAGTGTAACTGTTCTTGTTTACATCTCTTCATAGTTGTGTGTGTGTATATATATATATATAATAATAATAAAATGAGCTCACTTTTTGCTGAGATTAAGAAGAATTATGACAGATTCTACTAGTACCATTCTTTGTTGAATTTTGGACCTGCTGATAACTGGAGTGAGAACCCAGGAGTTACAGTGAAAGATACTTGTAACTACCAAACAGTCAAAAATCCAACTTCCAGAAAATTCTGAACCTGCATTCAGGACTTGTTTAAGAGGACTTGAGAACATTGAGGGTCCTTAATTGAGTTACAGATTGTATAGATGCCTGACTAGTTCACATTACTTGTTTAAACAGTCTTATGGAAAGGTGATGACGCGAAAGACTGAAGGAGCAGTTCATAATGAAGTTAGAATGGTATAGATTTTGAAGTCAAATCTCATTTAAGCTGTTCAACAAGATTACAAATCACAGCAAAGTCAATTTGAATGGATAAAAAGCAGATTAACTTTCACCAATTATCATGGTAATTTACTTATGACTGATTATAAAACTTAAGGAGTGAGGGAATAAGCCAAGATAATGACACAAAACCAAGTTGTAAAAATGAGGTTTCTTTTCATGGTCTTGGCAATTCACTGTTGAACTGATATTACTTTTTAGAAAATCGATACAAAGCCAAGAAAGGTTTATAAGGACCTCCCAAAATTTTCAGGATATTATTGATTAAATTATGAGAAAATTACTGTAGTAATAATATGACACTTTTGAAAAGATTGAAATATCAAAGCCAATATTGGTTTTACATTGGTCTCTAGAAGAGATGATGTGGTTGGATGTACGAAACCTATGACATTACTTCTGTTGAAGGATTTAAATATTAAAGTTACACCCTCTCCAACAACTTAAGCTTTTCGAGTCGGTGGTGGATAAAGCGGTATCAAAGCAGGCAAGGTCCTGTGTTCAAACCGAGTTCTGAAGTGAAAGTCATTACATGAGTCCACATACAAGGACGGAGCCAATGAAGGCCTAGGGGGGCACATGCCCCCCCGAGTTGGCCCGCACTCTATAATATATGTGGTAATTTTTTTAATTTTTTCCATATATGTAAAAAAAAATTATACAATGCCCCCCCTAAATTTTGTGGTTCCTAAAATTATCTCTTTATTTTCTCTTTTACTCTTCAAATTCCTTAAATTTCCTTAATAAAAAAAGTCAAAATTTCCTTCCTCAATTGACACTTTTTAACTTTTTCCTTTTAAAGTTTTCTCATTTTTCTTTCCTTTTTCTTTTTCTACTTCTACTCTTAAAATTCTTCTTTTTAACGTGCATATTTGAATTATTTTCTTATTCTTTGTCTTTTGAATTTTATAGTTGTTATATTATATATATACTCTGTATCGTGTTTTTTTTTTGGCACCGTGCCCCCCCACTTGAAATCCTGGCTCCATCCCTGTCCACATACCTTCATTCTCGGCAACACATCTTTCCATGCTGTGTAGTTTTTGCTGCTCTCAAATAAATGATTTTTTTGTTCATTGTGCTATATTTATTTGCTCCCCCACTCCCTTATGCTATTTAGTTTTTTCAATTTATTATATTGAGAAGCTTATATGGACGTGCCTTGTGAAGCAAAATGACATGTTTTCTCCTTGAAAAGAGTGTACAATCATTCAAGCACTAACCTTGGCATGTTTCAATTGCATAATACTTCTGGACCTTTTTCATTAAGAGATAAATGAAAGTCTCCTACAATGGGTCTTCAAAAGGCCATCACTGGTGATGGTCCCATGAAACGAGGATGCTGCAAGGGTGGACTGAATACAATTCTAACCTTTGGTATTATATGAGGAAAGAAGAACCATTGGATCTGAACCTACAGTCTTATATTTGGCAACCTAAGTTTTTACCATTACATTATTGCCCCTAGAATTAGTACTTAACCACAAATTTAGGCAACAACATTATTGCACGCCTTAAAAACAGGGTCAATGTGTTATAAGAGCCAAAATCAGGTATTTCTTAGCATAAATATATATTTTTTATAATAAATTCATAAACTATATAAAAATGTGTTTTTTTTTTTTGTTTTTTTGTTTTTTTTTTTGACAAAGTAACCATATAAAATATATGTAAAAAAAGGTCCACCTCTAGGAAAATGAAATACATGATATACAATGCCCATTTTCATTACAAATTAAATGTGCGACATTCAATCTTGAATTCTTGATATTTGATTTTCGAAGTTAGGTTCAAATATGATAGATCTCAAACATGACATTTGGTGCATTGATTGAATAAAGTGTTGACGAACTTTGGACTTTAAATATACAATTTTTTTAATGTTTAGCTCAGTTGATAAAATAAAAATATATTGTCATAGTAGTTCAACTAAGTAGCAGAAATAAGAATGTTGAGATGGACACGCGGCCAAATGAGAAGGAACAAAATTAAACATGAGCCCGCTTGTGAGATGATGGAAGTAGCACCAACTGGAAATAAAATGAGAGAAAACCAATTAAGATGGTTTTGCAATGTGCAATAATGACCAATAACAAAACCCATTAGGAAAAGTGGCATGCTCCTTATTGAGAGTAATACTAGGAGAATGGAAATATCAAATTTAACATATGCTGAGATAGGAAAGATATGATGGGATTGTTTCGAATGAGTTTATGGCCTTAGATATAATAAAATGGCAAAACAAGATTCATGTAGCCAACCTTAGTAATTGTAAAATGATTTGTTGGATTGATTTGAGTTGAGTTATAAAAAAAAAATTAAAAAGTTTGAGTGTCCTTTCTCCTGGTGTATGTTTAGATATGATAACATCCGAAAAATGTTCGGACTTCTTTCTTAGATAATACAGAAAATGTATAAGTTACGCATATTATAAACTTGAAAGGAAAAAATATAGAATAAACTTTTTCTCTGTATTAGCATACAATTCGCAAGTTTACATGGGTTCTCTTTATAAGAGAGAATACACGCACATAACTAGCTGGCCTAATTAATAATTTCTTAATTTACAATATTTGACCAATATTCTATTTACAGCAAATATCCTCCAAATATTATATTTACAGCTAATATTATTTGGTAGTATTACTACCGAATCTTTCCTTTTCAACACTCCCCCTCAAGCTGGTTTGAAGATATCCTCCATAGCCAGCTTGCCAATTAGTCTGTCGAACTGTCTTGTAGGAAGTCCCTTTGTAAGCACATCTGCAACTTGCTCGATAGTAGGAATGTACGGCATACAGATCAAATATTTTTCGAGCTTTTCCTTGATGAAGTGTTTGTCTACCTCCACATGCTTTGTTCTGTCATGAAGTACTGGATTGTGAGTGATCGAAATAGCAGCTTTATTGTCACAGTACAATTTCATAGGCAACGGATTAGAGACCTTTAATTCATCCGATAGTCTCTTAATCCATAACACCTCACAAATTCCATGAGCAACTGATCTAAACTCGGCCTCTGCGCTGCTTCTTGCTACTACATTCTGTTTTTTACTCCGCCAGGTGACAAGGTTACCTCCAACAAAGGTGCAGTAACCAGAAGTTGACCGTCTATCAATAGCACTCCCAACCCAATCCGCATTAATATAGGCTTCAACTTGCAAATGCCCACGGTTTTTTAACAGTAGACCTCTTCCGGGGGTCCCTTTTAGGTATCTGAGAATTCTGTAGACTGCATCAAAGTGTTCTCGTCCAGGTGAATGTATGAACTGGCTAACCATGCTGACTGCAAAAGCTATATCTGGACGTGTATGCGACAAGTAGATCAGTCTTCCAACAAGTCTTTGATACTGCTCTCTATTCATAACTTCTTCATCTTTAGAAGGCTGTAGCTTAAGGTTGGGCTCAATGGGTGTCTCAGCTGGTTTACATCCTATCAGACCTGTCTCACTAAGTAAATCAAGAACATATTTACGTTGATTCACAAATATACCTTCTTTGGATCTAGCAAACTCCATTCCTAGAAAGTATTTTAATGCACCCAAATCCTTAATCTCAAAGTCAACTGCAAGTCTCTTTTTCAGTCTTTCCAATTCTTTGTTGTCATTACCTGTCAAGACTATATCATCCACATAGACAATTAACACTACAACCTTGCCTTCTCTACTGTGTTTGTAGAACATGGTATGGTCAGCTTGGCTCTGACAGTAGCCACAATTCTTCACAGCTTTCCCAAATCTCTCAAACCAAGCTCTAGGGGACTGTTTGAGACCATATAAAGATTTTTTCAGCCAACAGACTTTATTAGGTCCCAATTTTCCCTCAAACCCAGGTGGTAGATTCATAAAGACCTCTTCCTCAAGATCTCCATTTAAAAAGACATTTTTTACATCTAACTGGTGTAATGGCTAGCTGAAATTCACAGCCAAAGATAACAAAATTCTGATTGAGTTTATCTTGGCTACAGGAGTAAAAGTTTCCTGATAATCAATTCCGTAAGTCTGGGTGAACCCTTTTGCTACTAGTCTTGCCTTGTACTTCTCTATGCTACCATCAGCTTTACATTTCACAGGAAAGACCCACTTGCAGCCTACTGTTCTTTTCTCCTTAGGTAAATCAACCATCTCCCAAGTATCACTTCTTCTAAGAGCATTCATCTCTTCCATCACTGCTAACTTCCAATTCGGATCATCAAGAGCTTCCTGAATGTTTCTCGGGACAAACAAGTGTAAGATTTTTTAGGTAAACGCCATATGAGTATGAGAGAGTTTTTCATAATAAAGGTATTTGGCAATGGGATATTTTGGATTTGGATATTTGATTCGAATACCTTTCCTAACAGCTATAGGAATATCAAGGTCTGATGGTTCTTGGTTAAGAGAAACAATAGGAACTGAAGATGAGTTATGAACAAAATTACCTGTGATATCTGGAGGTCCAGTTCCCGGAGGTTGAGATTGATCATTTCTAAGAGGAATAGGCTGACTTTGACTCTTTTGATGAGGTATTCTCCGAGTATAAACCAGAGGCTCAGTATTGGGAACTTTAGTGCCCGGTTGTAGTGATTCTTCCCCTGTTTTAGATACAGTAATGTTTGGCACTATATGACTAGGATTCCCTTCATTGTTTTCATTGGTTTTATCACATTGTTCTTGACTTTGAATTTTGGGAATAACAATAGGATGAGATGAAGGAGTCAAAATCACATTTGGTAAAGGAGTAGGAAATAAATCCCAAAAATTTTCTTCCATCACCTCATTCTCCCCCTGAAGAGAATTTTTAGGAAAGTAGGATTTATTTTCAAAGAAAGAGATATCCATACTTACATAAAATTTTCTTGTTTGGGGATTATAGCACTTATATCCCTTTTGATTAGAAGCATACCCTATGAAAACACATTTTTCAGCTCCAGGATCAAGTTTGGACCGAGTATTATTGGGTATATGAACAAAAGCTATGTAGCCAAAAACCTTTAGAGGTAAATCCGAGTATATCCTTGATAATGGAAAAATTCTTTTGAAACATTCTAATGACGTGCTATATTTCTAACACGTGAAGGCATTCTATTAATCAAATACGAAGCTGTTAAAATAGCTTCCCCCCAAAGATATTTTGGAACATTCATTGAAAACATTATAGCATGAGCCACTTCAAATAAATGTTTATTTTTTCTTTCAGCAATTCCGTTTTGTTGAGGGGTATCCACACATGTAGACTGATGATGGATACCTTTTTCTTTCAAAAAACTCCCCAAAATTTCATTAAAATACTCGGTTCCATTATCGGTGTGAAAATTGCTAATTTTTGGTTGAAACTAAGTTTCAACTATTGTATAAAAATTCTTAAAAATCTTTTCAACCTCAAAACTTTTCATTCATCAAATAAACCCAACATAAACGGGTATGATCATCTATAAAAGTAACAAACCATTTTTTCCTAGAGATAGTAGTGACTCTTCAAGGTCCCCAAACATCACTATATATTAAATAAAATGGTTTTGAAAAAGTATAAGGTTTTGGCAAATAAGTAGTACAATGACTATTAGATAAGTAACAACTCTCACAATAGAACGATGAACAATCCAAACCTTTAAATAAAGTAGGAAATAAATGTTTAAGATATGGAAAACTAGGATGTCCTAGTCTTAAATGCCAAAACATTATTTGTTCGTAAACAGAGTTAGAACTAACACTACTAAGGCCTTGAGCCTTTTTATTACTGGAGAAGTCCCCATCAAAGTAGTAAAGTCCATTTATTATCTTAGCACTACCAATCTCCTTCCCCGAGCTCCGGTCCTGAAATTCACAGTAAGAATCACAGAAATTACACGACAATTAGATTCTTTGGTTAGTTTACTCACAGACAAAAGGTTACAGGCTAGTTTAGGGACATGGAGAACAGATTTAAGATTTTTATTCTCGGATAATTTTATCAAACCTTTTCCTGCAATAGGTGAGAAACTACTATCTGCAATTCTAATTTTTTCAAGACCAGAACATGGTGAGTAAGTGCTAAAAAGATTGGAAGGGCTGGTCATATGATCAGAGGCTCCAGAATCGATGATCCATGGAGTAATTTAAACAACAAGAAAGGGCATTAAGTGCACTACCTGTTTGTGCAAGAGAAACACTAGGAATACCAGATGAGGAATTAAATTTCAGCAGCTTCAAAAGGTGATCCATCTGCTCCTTGCTTAAGGGACTTGTCTCAGCTTCATTAGCAGTAGGAACCATACACCTATTTCTGTCACCAGGCTTGCTACTCTTCCAATTCGCTGGTTTTCCGTGGATTTTCCAGCAGTTCTCCCGAGTATGGCGCGGTTTGTTGCAAAAGTCGCACTAGACCCGTGGCTTCTCTTCAGTTTTTTGCTGAAAATGGACTGCTTTATTAGTAGCAGTCTCTGCAACAATAAGGGCGGAACTCTCAATAGGTCCGCTGGTAGTCTTCTTCCCCAACATTACATGTTTGCGGCTCTCTTCTCTTCAAACCTTAGCAAACACTTCACCAATTGGAGGAAGTGGAGTCCTGCCAATGATCCGTCCTCGTACTTCATCAAATTCCACGTTGAGCCTAGCAAGGAATTTGTAAATGCGATGAGCCTCCACGGTCCGTTTGTAGTGATTGGCATCTTCAGTGGATTTCCATTCATAATCATTGAACAGATCCAAGTCCTGCCAAAAACGCTTCAATGAATTGAAATACTACTTGGTGATCGAGTCTTCTCCCTGCCGAATCTCACCAATTTTTAGAGTCAATTCGTAGATCTGAGATTGATTTCCCAAATCAGAGTACATCTGATTCATGTTGTCCCAGAGCTCCTTGGCCATGGAGTAGCACATATAGTTAGAGCTAATATCCTCGTCCATGGAGTTCACAAGCCAAGTCATCACCATTGAATTTTCTGCATCCCAGGTTACGTACGTTGGGTCCTCTGATGCTGGTGCCTTCTTGTCTCCTGTCAGGTACCCGATCTTTCCCCGCCCTCTGATCCGAACGGACTAGGACCACCGTAAATAATTGTCACCATTAAGGCGAATATTGGTGACCTGAACCAAGTGAGAATCAGTACTGAGGGCTTGGGTTGTCGGATTGGTTGACTGGGTTGTGATAGGGGAGGTTGACATGGAGGAAACGTCAGACATGGTTGATTAGCGAAGAAATTGTGTAGAAAAGAAAATTAGGATTTTTTTTTTTTTTCCTTAGAGTGGCTCTGATACCATATAAACTTGAAAGGAAGAAATATAGAATAAACTTTTTCTCTGTATTAGCACACAATTCACAAGTTTACACGGGTTCTCTTTATAAGAGCGAATACACGCACATAACTAGCTGGCCTAATTAATAATTTCCTAATTTACAATATTTGACCAATATTCTATTTACAGCAAATATCCTCCAAATATTATATTTACAGCTAATAATATTTGGTAGTATTACTACCGAATCTTTCCTTTTCAACACATATATTCATGTGTCATATGTAACAATTGTATGTGACATATTCGCATGAGTGACATTTTGCATTGATATGGTCAAGAAGTGACCCTATTTTTCATGTGAAATGTGCTGCATCATGTAGTCAATACTTAGTTACTTTGATCTCTTTTCACCTTCTATTATGTTTTTGATGTATGATACTTCACCTTATGGAACTCCATCAATTGGTTTAATATTATTCGCAACCATTGGATGTATTTCAACCATTCTTTGTGCTTGTTCTTTGCTGAAGCTCATTTTAATGTGTCAAAACTTTTGTTGTACCCTGCAGCTGCTTCGACTACACAAATGCATTAGCGGTGAGTTTTTTTCCCCTGCTTTACCTTTATATTGAAGCGCAAACACTCCCAAGCTTGATCCAAGTTATTTTATAGCTTAATGGGAGTCAAATGTTAGAAACAAATAAAGTGACAATATCAAAGGTCTATAGTGCAGCCCAACATTTGGTGGTCAATGTACTTTGAATTTCCCAAGTTCCATGCCTTCTTACAGCCTCTCATCATCCAAGTTTTGTCAAAGCACCTGAATCAACTTAAAGGGGACTCACGTGTAAGAGATAGATCAAATGTGGATAGTTGTCATTTTTGGATGACTTAAAAGTGGTGCAAATACATTAGGAAAATGCTGTAGGACATATAGATTCTAGGAGGTGAAAATATTATAAAGTTCATAGGTGTTTGTTTGGGAAGAACTTCTAAATTTAACAAATTCATCTAAATAGTGATTCACCAGTTATTTGGTATCAGCTACATAAATCATTTTTTGCCATTCTGGTGTATTCGCAATGCCCATTTTGCTAACCATCGAGACTTTAAAAACTCAGTTTTTCTCTATATAAAATTTGAAGTCTTTCCTGTAATCTAAAACATTGCTTCCTTTCTTGATCTGTACATGTTTGAAAAGCCCTTACCTTGCGGGTACTTGAACATTTTGCCTCAAGTTTTATCTGATTCTACATTGTACCCTTGCTAGTTTATACCAACTTCCTCCACCTATTCTCCTTTTTTATTCTTCATTCTATTTTTACCGAGTCTCTCTCTCTCTCGTCTCTCTCTCTCTCTCTCTCTCTCTCTCTCTCTCTCTCTCTCAGTAATACTCTGTAACGTTTTCTTGACTTGCTGAAATTTCAATTTTTTTGGTATAGGTATAATTACTTGATCTCAATCTACCCAGCAAGATTAAATGCACCTTTTTAATTTGTCATTTGATTCTGTGACAGAGCTGTTAGTTTTACATGCACAGAGTGAACAACTTTTATTCTTTGTTGTTGATAAAACTCAATATGGTACTGCTAGCTTACACTTGTGGGCAATTCCAGGATTTGGTGGTTGGATACATGGGTGTGCCAAAATATTCTGGAATCGGCATGACACAGCATCCACAGTATGTTACTGTTAGGTAATTCAATTTCATCTTCAAATCTTATGTTCGCTCAATAATTAGGATGTTAGACAAATATAAATGTGTTTTTATTTTTATTATTTATATTTATTATTATTATTATTATTATTATATGCCCCATTCAAATGGCAGAAATGAACGTGGAAGAGAAATGCTGAGTTTGGTGAAAGATCTTTTGGAGATTACTCCAACAATTACTGGTGTAAATATCTCACCTCTATCCTGTACATAATTTATGATCTAAAGTTGTTGTAGTAGAATTACTTACTTTAAGGACAAATATTTTATTTCAGGGTGACCGGCGTCCATATGTTATGGAGACAGTTAAGGCAGACGATAATGCTAAGTTTGGTATGTAGTGGCATCGGATGTATAATTTTTATATGAAATATCTAGCTCTTGGGCTAGTGGCCCTAAGGATGTGGGTTTTATCTCTTTAACTGGACTGTGGCATGTGTTTAGTAGTGCAGAACCTGCCTTAATGGGTCCAGTTCCAAGTAAAATCTTCATCAATTTACTTTAAACCATCTGATCTGAGTATTTTTGGATTTCTCTAAGAAAAATTTCATTTGTTTAGATTTGCAGGTAAGAATTGGAATGTTCGTAACAGATTTTTAGTTTCTTACCGTTTCGATCTCTTATATGGTGCCCATTAATTATTAATGAGGATTTTCTTCTGAAGAACTACATGTACAGAAAACTAAGTGCTTTCCAAACTCCAAATATTCAGATTCAAGATTTTCCTTTGATATTTTCTCAGGAAGGGGTCCTTCTCAGCCTGCACCAAAGTTTGTTGGCAATTTAATAGCATTTTTGCTAAACTTGGTAAGAATTATTGTTAGTGTTTCACTGAGTGATAATAGCAACTGGACAAAAAAATTATTCTAACTCAGTCCATTTGGTTTAGATTGGCCCAAAGGGTCTAGAATTTGCCCGTTATTCACTGGATTACCATACCATCCGGAACTATCTCTATGTAAATCGTACATGGGGAAAACAGAGGTATGTATTGTGGTTAGTACTTATCCTTACATGTTGGCTTGAGGCTGTTTTCAGCATACGAATTTTTGATAAATGCAGAGCTGATAGACACATGCCTTCATATGCAAAGAAAATTGTGGCTACTTACAACCAGAATGGTGAAATTGATCAGATGCTTTCCAACAGGTGATTATATAAGGTGGAAAAAATATGGGAAATAGCCTGCATTTCCACATGAAATTTTGAATATATATATATATTATTTGTTCTTTAGAGAGGCAACTGAATATGATTGCATAGTGATAGCATTCATTTTCAACAACTATACACAGATGTGTGATCAATACTTGTAGCATGTTCAGATTGTTAAACACACTTGTTTTAATCAATATGTAATTAAACAAAAACTATAAATTTTATGTCAAAAGTATTGATTATGGAAGAAACCTTTTTTTATGAATAGTATTGGTTTCAAATACATCCCGTTCCAATGTCCAGATAATAGTAGAGATCACATTGTTGCAACCATTAGATCAGGTAGTTCACCCCATTAATCATCGAATCACCTTGGTCTGATAGGTCTATGCCTAAATTGAATTATATTTTCTTTTCTTTAATTCCACTATAATATATGTAGTATTGTTAAGGGGATTAATTACGTTATTGTTTCAGTTTAGCAACTGAGAAATTACATATGTAGTGAAAATTATGAAATTGTGTACCATAATTATGTATGTTTTCCTTGAATAAAACTAAAAAATAATAAGTAGAAATGTTTAATAGAGATTCACAATAGAGTTCACTGTGAAAAAAAAAAAAAAAAAAAATGGGTGTGTGAGTTTCTTGCCATGGTGAAAAATAAAAATTTTTAAAAATAAGGAAAAAAAAAAAAAAAAAAAGAAGAAAAAAAAACATAAGAGAAACAAAATACATGCGGGGAGAGAAAAAAGAGGGATCGTAAAACAGGGTGAAAATGAGTCATTACATATGAAATGGACTAAAAATTTTAAAAACAACAAAAACTGGCTGAATTTCATGCTGGTATGAAGCTCAATTTCATTGATGCATTTTAAACTAGCTGTGTATGAAAACTTACGAGTTATGTGGTTTTTTTTTTGTCATTGACAAGTTTAGATAGCATTTGTAGTAGTTTATCTACAGGTGCAAGTGTGCAACTGGCTGATAGAGCTGATTGCTGGTTACCATATTCAGCTTTTCCAGTTTTAGTTGTTTTAACTCGAACCATTCAAGCTTGGTTCATGGAGGTTTGGCTGAACTAAAGTAGTCTTGTTTATTAGCTGGGTCAGACGTTGCCTCCATCTTAATCTAGCTTTCATACCTTTCAGAAAGCAAATTGCAGTATAACGTGCTTTAGAAACTACCCTAATTCTTTTTAATGTCATGTTGGCTTTATATTATCAATCAACTTTTCTTTGTTGATTTAACTGTTCTATTTGGGTTGTTTTAGATGGTCCTATTATAGCACAATATTTTCATGTATTGTGGTGAGCCAAAGATGGTGTTGATAAAGTCAGGCTTCTCAGAAAAATTTAGGATAAGCTTGAGGTTGAATTGTTTAAAATGGAAATCGTGTCCAAGGAGTCTCACTCGTTCAAAGTACTTTTTTCATTCATCAGCCCCTAGTCAAGTTCCCATACATAGACATAATGCAATGCTGTGAATTTTCTAGGATCGGTTTCTTATAAACTACCCACAAGTCTACCCTAGCTCCCGTACAAGAAGTGAGCTATCTCGAGTTGCTCAATAGGAATTTGTTTAATTAAATTGTCCTAGTGTTAGACCCTTGAAGAAGACCCTTAACCAAGGGCTAGCCTAAGGGAGGTTTTGCTAAGCCTCAGACAGCCAAGCTGGGTACAAGTTAGCTGGCAGTGGCAAATCCATTTCCACATCGTCACAACTCACTAAACGAGTTTTAGTGTATCTACTCTTTCGTCTAAATTCATTAAATCTAGTGGGTTCTTTTGTTGAGTAGTTGGCAAGGTTTCATCCATGCAACATGGCACAGCTCACTGACTTGGCAATTTCTAGTATTCCTATATAGTCTTGCATAAACATGATCAAGAGACCAAATACTTGGATCAAACTTTTAAAAAAATAATAATGAATCAAACAGGAGCTAGCACAACTAGAACTTAGGATGGTTTTAGGGGGTACTTTTAACATCTTCATCCTCGCATTGTTCAATGGGAATGCAGAACTAGGATGTAAAGACAGTTCGACCTCTCGACATAGAAAACAACTACCCTTGTGTAATCACAAGAAGAAGGAATGGGATTGTTGGTGACAAAATGAGGAATGTAGGTGGTGGTCACCCATGTGTTTCCGCCTCTTTGTGATGCTGATATCTAGTAAAAGGTTGCGCAGTTAAAAAAAAAAAATCACAGAAGGTTCCAATGGAAAAAGACAGTGCAACTGTAGTTTTGGACTTCCATGCTGCAAGTATCGCAAAAGTCAAAAAACTCAATCTAGCATGAAACAAGTTGAAGAAAAAGTATTGCATGTTGTATGCTCCTTGAGTTTTGAGATTGACCTCACATTAGTGTATATAATTGAAAGATTTGTGTGTGGTGGTGAAGAAATTTTAGATGGGCCATTGAGATAAAGGTTTTATGCATGTTCAAATCAACAGTATGGAGACTCATATGGGTTGTCTTCAAATCCACTTCTTTTTCTTTAAATAATATTCATGTTATATATTATTTAATGTAAAATGAAAAATGAATTCATGTTGGATCCTAGGGGAAAGAAAATAAATGACAAAAGTAGGAAGAAAATTTTGGTCATTTAATGTTGAATGGCAGTGATAGAAAGTCAGTGGCATCTTTCTTGTGGGGCAATTCTTAACATTTAAATAGCAGAGAAGTATTTTGTAGTGGAAATGCAGAAAAATCAGGATGTTTCTATCAGATCTCATTGTAAATTATTTGAAAAGCTTTTGGAGTCCGGTCACGAGGTCTGAATATTAAGTATGAATCATAGTTCAAATACTACTTAATCTATGTCATCTCTATCAAGATGACAGACCCTAGTACATCTTTTAATAATAATAAAAAATAAAAATAAAAATAAAAAAGCCAAATTTAGAGCACTGAAGTCAGAGATACTGAATGTCTTTTGCATGTGGTGTGGTTGGAGTAATCTGAAAGAAAGGATGTTGTGTATATTGACTTTGAAGAGAGGGTTTGTGGCTGAAAAGAATTTGGGAGTGCTGACTGACTTGGCAATAGAAGTTAGTTCATCCATTCAATTTGTTCCCTTGAATATAGGAGATCTATATGGTTTTAGACACATTTGTCAGTGGCCAAAAACTTATGACCATGTTATTTCATCTTTTTGGTGGACCAAGTTTTATAGATGAAAACTGACTCTAACCAACCTTATTTTGCCAGTATTTAGAGAATTTTTTGCTTAGGCAACTGTGAGAAGATCAATTTTATTTTTCTCACTTCTCATTGTGGGCTCTATCCATGTGCAAGGAAACATGCAGACCTAGAGTCAATATGTACTTCTGAAGCAAAACTAGTCAAGACTCCAATGTCATTTCACATTGAAGAGAATAGAGATGTTGGATATAGTAGATAATGGTTCCACCATAGTTGAAGGCCTTTTGTGGACCAAATTGTGGAGGTAGTGACCATCACAATAATTAATGACTAGGTGGACCAGAGAGAGAGAGAGAGAGAGTCATATTCATTTCACTTGGATTAGAAAAGGAGTCCATTACATTTCACATGGAAACTTTATTTAAAATTACAAAAAGTAGAAGGAAAAAAAAAAAAAAAGAAAAAAAAGAAAGCCTCATCTTCCTTTTTACAAAAATACCCAAAACTTGGGATATTCCTGGAGAGGGCTGCTCTCTGTTTTTTGTGTACCTTCTCTCTTTACATTTTTTTGTACACAGCCTTACCTCAGTTTGATCATATCTGTTGTCAAAGAAGATTATCAAAAGAAGAAGAAGAAAAGGGCAGAAGCATCTTTAAGTGACAGTAGCAGAATGCTTTCTGTGCTTTGTTTCTTCTTTCCAGATTTTGCCAATTTCATCTGCTACTCTAATGGCATCTAAAGATGCACCAGAGAGACCTCTTCTTGTGAACCCAACTGCATAGAGCCCATGTTTGCCTTTCCACCCATTTGGGAATGGAGCTTTGGGGAATCCATTTCTATCAAAGAATTCATTTTCCTGAAGATAAATATTCCAAAACAATTTCAGCACATTGATTCTTTTTTTTTTTTTTTTTTTTCTAGAAACTTAATCCCACATACTTATACATTAGAAAACTAGGGGTCATGGGGTTATAAAAGGAAATTCACTTTCTTTTGGAGAACTAATTCTAATTGTAGAAAAACATAATTATAAAATAGAAGAAGCTTCTGAAACATTTTTTAAATAATTGAAAATTCAACTCTGACAATAAAAAACACCAAACAGAGCCCCAACAACCTGATCAGTAGCGGATAGGAACTCTACAAGAAACCCAACTTCCATAACTGTCACATGAATCCATATGTAGAAAATACTATTTAAAAAAAAAAAAAAAACTGACCTCTAACCATGAAGGTACATTGCTGGTATACCCAGTTGCTAAAATCACAGAATTAATCTCAAGATTTTGACCATTCACAAGTTCGACGCTGCCGCGCGAAAATATCTTGATTCCTGGGACTACCTTGATCTCACCAGATCTAATTTTCTGTAGGGCACCAATGTCCAAGACAGGGGTCTTTCCTTCAGTGTTCTTCAGCTGTAAAGGACCAATTGGTGGCCTTTTCAGACCATACTTCTCTGTATTTCCAAGAATTAACTTTGCAATCACCAACAATGTTTTATCAACAAGCCAAATGGGCAGCCATTTCATCATTGATACTGCTAAATCAAACGTCGATTTTCCAAGAACTTCCCTTGGCAAGACATGAACCTGTGGAACAGAACAGAACAGAAAATAACCCACTTATAATCTGAACCCAAAGAAATGTTATGACAAAATACGTGATGGGAACTTTGACTTACCGATCTTCGAACCACCATTGATGGAAAGGCATTGTGGTGGCAAAGATCGAGGGAGACTTCCATGCCTGAATTGCCACAGCCAACTACTAGTACATGCTTGCCTTTATAACTCTCACCAGATTTGTAATCACAAGCATGCATGACATGGCCACCAAAGTCTTCCAAGCCTTCAAATTCCGGCACCACCTTCTCTGCATTCTCTCCAGTGGCCACCACAAGCCATCGGCAAATGTACTCAACTTCACCCCTAGTGGAACCATTACTCGTAACAGTCCTGACATGCCATAAACCCCAAGTTTCTTCATACTTGGCAGACTGCACAGACTCACTAAATCTCGGGTTTATCCCAAAGTTTTTTGCATACGACTCAAGATAGTCAATGAACTGATATTTGGTAGGGTATTCTGGGAAATTATCTGGGAATTTGAAGTAGGGTAGTTGACAGAATTGTTTGGGGAGGTGAAGCTTGAGTCTGTCATAAGTTTGGTTTTGCCACAGAGACGCAATGCAGTTGGCTCTTTCAAGGATTACGAACGGCGCACCTTCTTGTTTTAGGCCAGCAGCAACAGCTAGACCTGATGGACCTGCACCAACAATGACAGGTCCGTTCACCCATATGAATCGCCGAGCAGAGGTGTTTTCAACGTTGAAAGAACGGGCCATTGATGGTATGTCAAGATCAGTGTAATGCATGAATTAGTATGTTTTGGGAAATTAAGAAAGAGACTGAGGCAGCTATGAAACAGAGGTGGTAGCAAAAGTAGCAAGTACTAAAAGATTAGATAGAGAAGAGAGAATGATTATATATATATAGCTTGACAAGTGTAGGAAATAGTTTATCTATGTTCAAAGATGGGTGTGACAAAGAAGTGATGGGAAGAGAGTAGAATAGATTGTAGTTTGCTTTGAAGTAGTGTGTGGAGGGGGTTAGAGGGATGTAGAGGTTTAAATAGGGAGGGTGGACATCAGTAGCATGTGATTGCGATTGTTATACATATTATACATTTTCCTTAATAATTGACACATATATTATGAGATGGTAGTCATTTAGAGTATTATATGGCAATTACCCTTTACATAAATCATGTGATTCTCTTCCTATTTTATTTAGTAGCATTGTCTTATATCGAATCCGAATGGAGAAAGTTTTGAACATATATGGATAGGTATGTTGCACTACCTAACGACTTAAGTTTTTGAATCAGGCCACTTACAAGTGGTATCAGAGTGGGTCCAGTCCTTGATCCAATATAATATCCAATAGCTTACAACTGTTATCAAAACAGACTCAGTTCTTGATTCGGTGTCATACCAAGCGTTCATCTAGGTGAAGTCCGGATTTGAGTCGCTAGGAACGACATTGCAAATTCGGATGGGAGAGAATTTTAGAGAGGTCTTGTCTCACATAAAATCGAATGGGTAAGACCAAATTTTTTTCTTTCAATTGCTAAGTTACTAAAAAAAATATATATATATCCAACCCACGTACACCGTCACTATTGTGTCAATGGAGACTTGCCCTCAACCCCCTATGTAGGAGGAGGAAATACTAACCAAGTTAGGGTAGGTGATTACATCAACTCAATTCTAATCAATTGTCTTTTTCCACATATTTGGGTCGGTTAGGTGAATTTATTTCACCATTCATGTTCTAATCTAAAAACATATTTTTAGTCAAACTACCCCTTATCACATCTTTTCTTACTGTCTTAACTCCACATGATAAAATCATCTTTGATAGAAATTTCATCATTCATGCATGTGCCTGCTCACGACCAATTGTTTGTTTTTCTCTCTTGAAAAATCTAAATCAACTAGGCCACATCTGCTTGTTCTTGTTGACAGTTACTAGGGGAGCAAGTTCCTCTCCCTATCAACTTGCTTCTTTTTTGGACACATTTTTATTGTTAACCCAAAAAAGGAAACAAAACAATATCACCAAATTTATAACAAGCTGTTCATGTAATAATCAAACAAAACAATTTCACAACACACACTGCTTATACAAAACAGCCAGAGCTAGCTAGCAATATTGGAAACAATGATAGACCTTAAAATATTATTCCAAGGTCATTTACTGATTAATTACAGAAGTGAAATTGTAGTTGGTCAACAACCATGCTCAAGTCACGTTATTCAAGAAGATTTTGAATTGATTTAGGGGGGTTCTTGAAATTAAATATCCTACTGCTTCACTGTACATTATTTATGAGTGAATGCTGATGAGGATTCGCGCAATGTGGCCACGTGGAGGAGGTGATCTTGGACTCGTAGTTGCACCTGGGGGGGCTCACTTTCCCTATTGAAATTTGGAACCCACACCAGTACCACTTATCACATTGAGATTGCAATTTGAAATCACACCTACCTACACATTGTTCAAGCTTTGAGATTGTAAATGTTGATTTGGCCCACTCAAGTCCATTCCCTGCATTGTGAGCTGTTGTAGTAATGACACTAAAAATATTAGTTGTAATTTTCAAATTCCGAAAAGTATGCTATTGATCATAGAACTGCATTTACATGATCAATAATTGTGTTGATGATAGTAAAGAAAGAATAAAAGGACTCGTGTGGAAGAAGATTTTTGCATGTGCATGTAGGTTTGTTGGCTTCATAGATCTCTTCTTTTCATGCAAGAATGTAATGGGTGGTGTTTGGTTCTTCTTGGGAGCACAATCATCCTTCCAAAAAGGCTAGCCATTTTACTAAACTGGATTCATTACAAGGTTGAAAAAGAGTCAGTTGTATGCGGCAGCTGAAACTCGATCCATTGTAAGGTTGGAGAGAGTCAGATGCATGCAGCAGCTTTCCTTTTTGTAGAGAACTTGTTTCTCTAGATCGAACTTATAAGTTTCGGGTCACAATAGAACACTTTACTGTTACACCAAGATCCACCCGAAAGATTTCTATGAACTTCTCAAGTAATTTGAAACAAAATAACATTCTATTGCAACGCACAAGGGAGATTTGTTCATGGTACGGGGCTGCATGGTTACGGCCAGATGGAGAGAATGATTGATAATATAAAATTTGGGCATGGGCTTTACAATTCTCTAGTTTCTCAAGTACCGTGCAAAGCTATCTGCAGCCAACTTGGGAAAAGGCCTACCTGGGACCATGCTGCCATTTCCAAGCAACTTTATGGATAAGTAAAGGTGTCACAATCTTCTCTTCTCATTGATCCTTTATTTTAAGGAAAAATTGTATAGAATTATAGCTTCATTGTTGGTTTGAACTTCCCATAAACATATGAAACAAATGCCTAGGTGGATTGATCATGCCTAAGAAGAACTTTTATATATCAAGTTGGAATTTAATACTTGGGGTGTCACAGGCTTCCAAGAAGTTCACTAGGCAGTACACACTCATCTGATAGTACTAAAGCTTTATTATCATGATCATAACAATACTAATAATGACTTTATCTTGATCTTACACAATTGGCCCCTTTTTAGATTTTCTACCATCTATTACATGATCTCATTGATTTTAATAACTAATCTTTCTTTCTTTAAAAACAAAAACAATATATATATATATATATATATATATATATATATATATATATATATTTGACCGGACCCTGTACAACTATTTGATATAATGATTTTAACACTTTATCATATAGTTAGTTCAGGTATTTTTTAAAAAAAATTATTTTAATTGCCAAATATATGTATATATATATGATGTACCGACCTTGCAACAATATTTTTTTTTTTTTTTTTTTTTTCTTAGTTAGTACTCACACACTTATTCATCTACTAAGATTCGAACTCCTGACCTCCCTTTGGGAGGTAAGGGCCTGTTGATATATGTGTGTGTGAATATGTTATCCTTTTTTTTTTTTTTTAATTGAAACTCATATACCCATTTATCTCTACGGACTTCAACCGCCGTTGCCAATCTCTTTGAAAAACAGAGGAGACTAATAGGTCACACCCATCCTAATGTCGTAAAACTAAAACCCTTTATTACTATCGTTTCGATTGGGTACCGCTAGCCCTGCCCCTATTAAAATGATTTTGGAGTGGTTTAATTGAGGACGGTATGACGAGATAAAAATTTGTGTGGATGTAGGGATGGGATGGGTACCGGCCTTGGCCATTCCATTTATATTTACTTAATTATTCTCGTATAATACTAAAATATTAAAATAATTTTTCATAAATTAAAACACCAAAACTCTAATATCTTATTCTTTTATCATTTTATAAAATCATATATATTTTTTATTAATTTTAAAAATAATAAAAATTGTTTAACATTTTTATTTATTTTTTATTTTTTATTTTTTATTTTTGAGGGGGGAGGTAGCTCTTGATAAATGATTTTGGACAAAAATGGGTTTTACTTTGTTAAACAGAAACGAGGATGGGGAAGGCCCCTGCCACTTGTCCCATTGTCATAGGTTCAAACTAGTGATTGTGAAAATACAGATTTAAAACATAGAGTACTTAAAACACTAATCACTTTTTTTAATGACAATACTTAGATCTTTAATGATGAGGACTACACCATTCTCATCATATATATTGCACAATCTTGTTATGATTGCGTCAATAAAAAAATAAAAGAGAATAATGCCATCCAAATATAAAATAGGTCCACCTGATGTTCATTCATTTTTCTTTTTAATCATTGAAGAATTCCTTAATCAAAAGTTAATTATCTTAATTAATTATCCTAGGTCAATCAAGAGCTTATAAGGGAATATATATGTCTTAATATAATGTAACACAACATACAAATATTTTGTTGGGTTCCATTCATGATTCGAGAAGTCATTGGCTCCGTCCTGTTCCAATTCAATGAAAGAAATATCACATGGAAACATGAAAAGTTAAGAACCAGTGGAATAAAAAACTGAAAACAAATTATTTATGCCATCATTTGCGTGACATAAATAATTTAATTTAGAAAGCATAAGGACTGTTCGTTTGATCTCTCATTTGATTTGGTAGAACTACTGCAATCTCCACCAATCGTTGATACATATATATGTATATATATTTTCCTTTTCTTTTTGGTAGGTTTGATAAAAATAATTCAAATAGATAATAAACAATTAAGAATAAATTATGAAAAGGGTCATTTTGTTTTCATGAAACTGATACTATTTGTAATGAAAACCCACTCCATCATATGATTTTATATTGTTGGCTTTGGGCCTAAGCCCAACGCATGATTTTGCTTTTGAATTTTATCTCAAAAGACCTCGTACTCGTACTAATTGGAAATAACACCACCACCTATAAGCATTTCACCTTTTTTCTTATTCAGACGATGTGAAATTGTGTAATAACCTGCCAGTGCTTCAGACCCCACCCACAACATCGCCACAATGACATTTACCCAAAAACACACACACACAGTTTTAAAATGGTATGCAAAAACTAAAAAAATATAATTTATACAATTAAATTCCAGGTTTGCGATCTATAATCCTCAAAGTATACCAGCAAGATTTCCAAGAATATGAAATGCATTTATTAATTGCTTGTGTAGAGCACATATAAAGTATGTCTTAGTCAACAATAGACCATGAAGAACCATGTGACCTAAATAAAAAAATTAAAGGGTTATTATCAAATCCAACCCATATCATTTGCCTCTTTCTTTCACTTGTGAGTGTTTTATTATAATTAAAAATTGTTTTGGGTTTGAATCGCAATGTATTTTTTAATTAACAAAGGTGATAATAAGTGGTATTATTTAAGAATGTGAGTAAAATCAAAACAAGAAAGTGATACTAAAAAATAAAGGATACACAATTATTGAGAATTTGAAATCATTGAACATGAATGATGTTAAGTTTGTTTGACACTGCCTACAATGAGGAGATTCTGTTAATGAAGTCGGTTGTTAAGTTTGAATGAATGAAGACTATTTTGTATTTATGGTAGGGATTGCATGCACCACCCAAATTCTTCCTTGCTGCCCCAAACCATCATCATCTTTGTTTAATTTTAATTTTTTAAATTTGGTTCTCCCACTCCAAATTTTTAAAATTTGGGCGAAACGAAATTTCCGGCAAAAGTTGCTAACATACTGTAATACATATACATACGTGTGTGTATCATCACCATCATCATCCTTTTCTTAATCTCATAAAACATATCAAAAGTTACAGTTTACTCTAATTATTTTCATAGACGTACATAAGTTACATAAAGGATGGTATTGGAGGAAATTTGTAATTAACTCAAACATTGTTATCATCCTATTCTTAATCTCAGTGTACTCCAATACATATACAAGTGTGTGTGTGTGTGTGTGTGAGAGAGAGAGAGAGAGAGAGAGAGAGGGAGAGAGTAATAATATATTTCATACAACTAACTCAATCCACAACATAATAGACGAAAACGCATCAAACAAGATTGTACTTTCTCCATATTATATTCTATGGCAACTATATAACTGTAATAACTGAAACCATATAGATCTGCATATTAAATGATAACTACATATTTCCCAAGTGGGAGAATCAGTTAACAAAGAATGGAATTAATGAGTTTAGAAGAGGTGGGTGGGTGAGACTATTGCTGAATAATGGTCAAACAACCGCCTAAGCACATGTTCAAATATTGTTCATGGCATGTGCACCTTCAAATAACCATTTGATTTGGCATGTTCAGCCCTAATTAACCATTTGATTTCTTGCTCCCTTTGTTTAGATTAAAAAAATATTTTCTTTTTTAAGTAAAATATATAATTTTTATTTTTATGTTTCGGTGTTTGGCACAGAATTAAAGTCGAGTCCATCTGAGGCGTGTAAAATAGTTTGTCGAAAATTGATGAATAGATTATTTTTGTTAGGTATTAATATATTTTTTTAAAAATATTTTACGACAACCAATTACTCAGAAAACATAATTTATCAACATTTTTCAAAGTTTTATAAAACTGTAACAGGAGCTTTGTTTATAATTACATACAACCATAACGACTTGGGAAATTATGAAAGAAGATCGAAAAAAAATAAAATATTCAACACGCCGACGTGGTAATGATGAATTAATAGTTAGATGGTAAAAGAGAGAGAAAATGGGTTGCACGAACACTAACACTCACACCGCTACAAGGCACACCCTTTCTTAAACTAATCAATGAAATCCTAATAATTGGATCCAACATCATTTCAAGCATCAGTTAATCATAGATATAATGTCATCTCAATATGGTCAAATATCTCGATTTCCCATATGCAAAAGAGTAATAATTCCATGTGCCTTACTATTGTTAGTACAATGATTCTCTAACTAAACATGCTTTCTTGTTATATGATTTATGATTTATTGAATGGTGAGTATTTGGCTCCTCCCCAATTCCAATACTCGCCCACTTATTTTTAGACCACTCACTAAATCAAATGCAAAGTATCAGCATATATTTACAAGGAGTGATTCTAAAGAGTTGATCAGTGTAGGAACTAAAGCAATTCATCGTATTCCATTGTTGATAATAACTCTTTATTGAACAGAAACTTATGATTCATGTAGCCAACTCCAAATAGTTAAAAAAAAAACTATTGTCGCTGATAATAACCATGTAAAAGTTGTGAACTACAATTAAACAATGATAGAGGAAGAGAATCGAAACACACATTAATACAATTTCTGATGCATTTTTTTTCTTCTGTTCCTGGACAAAGTCATCATTCATCAAGCAACCAAAAAGAGCAAAGGATCAACAGCCCAATGTAAGAGTTGTGAACAAATCCGAGGAAAGCCGATAGAATTGCTAAGATTGTGCAAGCCAGAGCTATAGAATTTTGAGTCACACAGAAGCAAGGAAATAAAATAAAACAAAGAAAGATTGTTTTTCATAAACATCACTAGATTGCATAAGCTACTTACAAATAATATCTTGACATTCTGGTTGATACAGCTGCTTACTGTACAAAAATGAAAATTGGTGACAACTAAGAGCAGCTCCTCCCGCCACACTATATAAATATGCTCTACTACAAAGAATGCTAGCCCTAAGTGGCCCTAAAATAAATATATATAAATAAAAATGAAACAAACAAAACAAAACAAAATACAGGCACTTGACGGCTAAATCCGTCTGCCCTGACTAACTATTTGACAAAGACTAAGAATTCTACAAAGCTAAAAGGAATAATTTTACATCAGGGCTGTGGAGGTTACAATTAGGAGGAACATGTGAGGAGAGATTATTGGAGGCGGATTTACATTACGGCACCGATCAGAGGAATAGAAGCATCCATCTCATCATCAAAAATCTGGTGGCGTCACAAAAAGAAAAGAGTGCTAGCTGATCACAACCTTAGTCCTGTAAAAATTGGAAGGCTGGATATTCAAGAAGCTCTGCAGCAGGTTTTCCGTTCAAGAAATCCTTTTCTTTGAGGGAATTGCTAATCTCATCAACAGAGAAGGGAATACTGCATTTAGGAAGCACAATTATCAGTAGCCTGAAACACATTTCCTATTTTGTAGAGAGTATCTACACATCATAATACCTAGAATCATCATCCAACAAAAAGGAGCTGCTATCTGCATTGTTCGAATCCTCAGTCATTAGCATCTTCATGCTGGAAATAACCTGTAAAAGTACAGAAACAAGAGGCAAACCACAGAAAGAGTAATAATAAATAAAAATGCACCAAATGTATAAATTACCAATAGATAAGAAGATGAATTGCTAAACTTCAAGGGAGAGAATTGTATTGTTATATCTAACTTACATCTGGGGAAACACTTGGAGTGTTGTAGCTGTCGTCCCAGTAAAGGGTACATATTTTATGAAGCTGTTGTACACTCAGAATCTGCAAACAGCATATGTCAATTACACACACACACACACACGCATCTAGAGAGAGAGATGATTTAATTTTATGTACCCTGATTCAATCTCATAAAACACAACAACATACACAGCCATGCATACACAAAGGAGGAGAGAGAGGGACTAACAGGGCAGAGGTCATTCGTAATGTCATCGTATGAAATTCTAGACTTCTGATGTATGACCTGCATATAAATTTATAGGGTAAGTTGAAGTAACAAAAGCATCACAACATAATTAATCATCTCTACATACAAGCCAGAAGTTTTCAGCCGTCAGCGTGTAATATTCTATATATCATACTTTAATTAACCCAGATTTTATGGAAACCTTAGGCTCATCCTTTAAGAAGCACCCAAATAGCGTGCAGCCCTAGAGGATGTGAAGTATGCAAAAGCGCTTTCCATACAGAACCTCTAAACGAACATACCAATTCAAATTATCTACAACGTATAGAAAGGAGTTCATTAGGGTTATACTCTCCCTGTAGACCACCTAAACAAATCAAACAATCTTTCAATCTATAAGCTGGCAGCTTCGGTTCCATTAAATAACAACAGTTCTGTACTTGGTTTCCTTCCAGATGCACCACAAAAGGCAAAAAATTGGCCTACTCTTGTTTGTTTTGAACAAGGAATGAGCCACATGAAAGGAACAAGAATAATTTACTCTTTTTCGTATTGGACAAGGAACAACACATTTTACCTAATTATGATTAGTTTAAATGACTTTGCACACGACACCATACATAATTTCAAGGGTAAAGTACAACCACACCCCCTGAGATTTGGCAAAAGGACACGCAGAGGAAACTTACCTGTTTTTTGGACAAAGACACCCCTTGAAGGTTCAAAAATGGACAAAAACACCCCTTTACATGAGAAATTGACTAAATTACCCTTGGACCGTTTATGAGACTTTTTTAACTTTACCATTTAATAAATTGGACCAATCTACCCTCATGAACAATTTATGTATACAAAAAAGGAAAAAAAAAGAAGTGAAGATAGAACTCCACCAACAACTCCCTTCTGCGACCACCACCACCTCCATACTCGAATTTCAAATTCGATACATATATATCAAGTGAAGATAGAACTCCATACACGAATTTCAAATTCAATACATATATATCAAGTGAAGATAGAACTCGTGCCACACCCAAACCCAATTGAAACTCCACCATACCCAAACCCAACGAAAATACACAAATCCACAGCCACCACTTTGCACCACTCTGCATTCTGTTCTTGAACCCTAATACATACACAATACATATATATATATATATATATATATATATATATATATAAGGTATATATCTGAGATCTATTGGGGGAAATTTGTGTATGGAGGGGAGGATTACCTCGCCGATTCACCTCCCAACTCTCTCTCTTTATCAATTCTGAAATGATAGCATATCACCAAATCTAAACAAAAGGGGAAAAGTTAGGGTTTCCTCAAGATTTGGTGCGTTGGATATGGGAAGCGACGAAGGATGTAGAAACATAGGAGAGAAACGTAGAAAGAGAAAGATGGAAATAGAGAGGAGAGAGAAACTCATCTTAAATTTTAGAACTATTCCATTCTGTCTCCGATACTCTCTCCGACGCACTTTCCCTTTCTAAAGCTTGAAGAAATCCGATCCTCCCCGACGGCAAGCTCAAGATGCAGAACGACGCCGATTCGGTCTAGGCGAAACTGGACCGGGACATCAGGGATTCCGACATTTTGATCAAGAGCGGGGTGCTCCATGATGACGTCGTTCTAAGGTCGTCGTCGACGTCGAAGAGGGAGTCCGTATGAGTCAAGGCTCGGAACTTGATAACTCAGTTGCGGAGCGCCGAGTCGAAGAACTCGGCGTTGGATTCACTGCTCGGGTTGCTTCAGGAGGACGACAAGAATGTGTTTATTGCGGTGGCACAGGGGTCCGTTCCAGTGCTCGTGCGGCTACTGGAGTCAAGCTCGATGCCGAAGGTTAAAGAGAAGACCGTCATGGCCGTTGCTAGGGTTTCAATTATGGATTAGAGCAAACACGTCTTGACTGCAGGACCGTTGCTTCTGAGTCATCTAGTTCGAGTCCTCGAATCGGGAAGTGGCTTCTCGAAGGAAAAAACCTGTATTGCCCTCCAAGCGCTGAACTATTCCAAGGAAAACGCAAGGGCAATCGGGTGGTGGTGGGGGCAGAGTGAACATCCTTTGTATATATATGTGTGTGTGGAGAGAGGGTATATATATAGAGAGAGAGAGATGGGACGATGGTGGTGGTGACGGCACTGCGGCGGGGCAGTGAACCCCGAGAGAGTGGGGGAAGAAGGTGGTTTGGTCAGGTGATTAGGCAATGAGGGTAGATTGGTCCAATTTATTAAAGTGTAAAGTTAAAAAAGTCTCCTAAACGGTCAAAAGGTAATTTGGTCAATTTCTCATGTAAAGGGGTGTCTTTGTCCATTTTTGAAACTTCAAGGGGTGTCTTTATCCAAAAAACAGGTAAGTTACCTCTGAGTGTCCTTTTGTAGGGTGTGACTGTACTTTACCCTAATTTCAAATACACCATAATGTTAAAGCCCCCAAGTTATTGACCCCACAAGGTGAAGATGTAAAGATGTTTTACATCTTCAACCTTAAAAGTGATCTACCTTTTCAGTACATACATGTACTTTTGAAACCTCGAAACTTGCACCCTCACATGCATCCATGTAACAAAGTGATCTTTTCATATCCAAAATTTGTTTAAAGTCATTTATTTGGCATAATGGATTTATAATTTAATTATACTTTTTTTTTTATAAGTAAAAAATATATTAGAAAAACGTTCAAAAGGGGAACGCGTCCCTAATACACAAAAACGAGAGAGCAAAAGCCAAACCTACGGACCAACAGAGTCCAATAGAACTAAAAAATCATCAATCGATGAGCAAGCACTGCCTCTAACATAACAGAAAAGAGATCAAAGAATAAGAGACTTAAGGTTTGCAAAAGATGATTTCTTCCCTTCAAAATTTCTATTATTTCTCTCTCCAAATACACCACCAAACACAGTGTGGGGCGACCTTCCAAAAATCACGAGCATGACTAGTAACAGGGCATCTTCTCCAAGCGTCGATTAATTGGAAAGAGTGCTTAAGCATTACCCACTGAACACCAAAACTACTGAATATGAGATTCCAACAATCAACTGTAATAGGACAATGTAAAAGAAGATGGTCCACAGACTCGCCATCAATTTTACAGAGACAGCACCAGTTAACAATGGTATTACCTCTCTTATGCAGATTATCCAATGTTAGAATTTTTCCCCAAGTAGCAGTCCAAACAAAGAAGGCGACTCTAAGAGGAGCTTTAGAACGCCAAATACACTTCCATGGGAAATTATGACCAATAAAATTGGACAAAGACAAGAACATGGATCGAACTTCATGCCTACCATCAAGAGAAGGGGTCCACAAAATGTCATCACAACCTCTGCCAACATCCTTCTGTCTATACAACAGGTCCAAAAAGACGCAAACTTCTGCTATCTCCCAATCCTGAAAAGAACGCCTAAAACGCACATCCCACGTAACTCCACTGTTATCAAGATGATAACAGTCAATTATGTAAGCATGCTTATTTTGGACGATGCAATAAAGACGAGGAAAGGAAAGAGACAACAACTGATCACCACACCATAGGTCTTCCCAAAATCTAACCTTTATACCATTACGAACCATGAACCGAATATGGGTGGAAAACACATCCCAACCTTTCCGAATGAACTTCCAAACGCCAACGCCTCCAGTAATAGAAACACGAAGAGAGGACCAACCTCCACTCTCCTCCCCAAAACAACACGAGATAACTCTTTTCTATTGTCGATGACGCTTTTTACCGAACCTCCATAACCACTTCCCCAGTAAGGCTCTATTAAAAGGGACCAACTTCCAAATACCTAGACCGCCAAACTTCAAAGGTTTGCAAACCTGCTCCCAATTAACAAGATGATACTTAAACTCCTTTCTTTTTCCACCCCAAAGAAAATCTCTCTGAATTTTTTCGATCCGTTCAGCAACAGAGCATGGGGTTTGAAACAGGAATAAGAAATATATGGGAAGGGACGAGAGGGTGCTCTTAATAAGAGTGACCTTCCCCCCTTTCGAAAGATACTATTTTTTCCACCCCGCCAATCTTTTTTCATACCTGTTAATCACCGGATCGCAAGTCCCCACTCTCATGGAGGAGATTCCCAAAGGTAATCCCAGATAAAGGAGTGGAAAAACACCCACTCCAGACCCAAGAACAACAGCTAAGAAGGAAACATCAGAGACATCCCCCACTGGGACAAGCACACTCTTTCCAACATTAATCTTAAGACCAGACACTGCTTGGACGCATGTAAGAATGCACCTCAAATACCTGAGTTAGGAAACATCAGCATCACAGAAAACCAAGGTATCATCTGCAAACAACAAATAGGATATCTTAATCTGGTTAGCGACATCTCTGCCAACGGTAAACCCCCTTATGTACCCAGATCCTCTGCGTTTTTCATTAATCTACTTAATCCCTCCATGACAAAAAGGAATAGAAAAGACGACAAAGGATCTCCTTTTCTCAAACCACGAGAACTCAAGAAAAAACCAACAGGAGAGCCGTTCACAAGCACATAGAACATAACTGACGAGATACAAGATTCAACCCACTTTATCCATCGATCCCCGAACCCCATTCTCCGAAGCAAGTACAGAAGAAATTTCCAATTCACGTGATCATAAGCTTTCTCGATATCAAGTTTGCATAAGACACTAGGAACTTCACTCTTCAACCTGGAGTCAACACATTCTCCTGCGATAAGAACGGAATCTAAAATCTGTCTACCACCAACAAAAGCGTTTTACGACTCCGAGATAATTCCATCCAAAACATTTCGCATTCTAAGAACAAGGACCTTGGCAATAAGCTTATACATACATCCCACTAGATTGATTGGCCGGAAGTCCTTAATGTCAAAAGCGTTGCTTTTCTTGGGAATAAGAGCAATGAAAGATGCATTCAATGATTTCTCAAATGTACCATGAGAATGAAATTCCTGAAAAGTGCCCATAACCTCATTACGCACCACCTCCCAGCTCTCCTTAAGAAACTGCATAGTGAATCCATCTAGCTCTAGAGCTTTATCACCATTACAACTGGATAACACCTTAAGAACTTCCTCTTCAAAAAACGGAACCTCAAGCGTATCACTATCCAGCGTAGAAATCGCATCGAAATACAAACTGTCAAGTTTTGGTCTCCATTCCAAAGTCTCGGTATAGAGCTGCTGATAAAAAGAAACAATACCCCCACGCACCTCATCTTCTTTCCACAACTCAGAACCATTCACACGAATATGCCCAATAATATTGTATCTTCTATGAGCGTTAGCAAGCCTATAAAAGAATTTAGTATTGCGGTCACCTTCTTTAAGCCACAAAGACCGAGATTTCTAACGCTACGAAATCTCCTCCATAGTAGAAATCTCAGCAAAAGTCGCCTGACATGACACTCTTCTAGAGCGTAGAGATTCCGTACCTTGCCCTATCTCATTAAGACGATCAAGTTCAGCAATATCAGCCAGGACTCTATTTTTCTTCCATTCAAGATTCCCAAACACCTCTTTGTTCCACTTCTTAAGCTCAGATTTGAGAATCTGAAACTTCTTAGCAAGCACATACCTGGTAGAACCAGTAAACATTGCTTCCCCCCACCAGGACTAGATCTTCCCTTGGAAGTCCTCAGCTCTCAACCACATATTTTCGAAACGAAATGGTGTGCGTCTAGATCTCATATCTCCACAGTCAAGAACTAAGGGCACATGATCAGACGTGACTCTAACCAAAGCTGCCTGAGTGACATCCGGGAACTTCTTCTCCCAATCTCCAGAAATTAGGAATCTATCAAGCCTCAATAGAGAAACTGGGTCTCTGTGGCTAGACCAAGTGAAAGTTGCCCCTTCTAATGGCAAATCAATAAGAAGGTGACCATCAATAAAATCAGAGAACTGGGTCATCTCTGAAGACCACCTCCCCCCTGTGGATCTCTCAAATGGAGACCGAACAGAATTGAAATCCCCACCTAAGCACCAAGGCAACGACCACAATTCCTGAATGTAGCTAAGTTCACGCCAAAAAACAGGTCTATCACAATCAATAACGGGTCCATAAACTCCAAAAAAGACCCAACTGATGTTATCATCTTCCATCTGAAACACACATGACAAAGAAAAAAGCCCTTTCCAGAAATTCATTTTGGACATCCATCTACGATCCCACATAATAAGAATGCCACCTGATGTACCAGAGGCGTCCAAGGCTTCCCAATCCACGAACTTACTTCCCCTAAGGCTTCTAACCACATCATCAAAAAAGAAGCCAACTTGGTTTCTTGCTAACAAATAACATGGGCATTCCACTTCCTCAAAGCAACTTTAACCACCTTTCTTTTGTCCGGATCATTTAATCCACAGACGTTCCATGTGATAATTCGTATCTTCATTAAGAACCAAAAATAATCAGTGCCCCTCCTCCCTGCTTCCCACTTCTAGTCCTTCCCCTTTCTTTATTCACCCCATTCTTCCTTTCGTAATTGATATTGAACTAAGGTTCTTGACCTCCTGATCGCCTTTCCGATGTGCATGTTTCCTATTTTTAACAACTTTTGTGCTTTTAAAGGTCTCTGTATTATTGTTTCCTGCCACAATATCATGAAGAATGGTTTGTGTTGGAACATCATCCCCTTCCGAGGAGACACCCAAAGCTTTACTGACCTCGCCAATATTATCCAACACCCAGTCCATACCCAAATCGTTAATCCTCTCTAAGTAATCAGGGTGCATAGTTGCTAAGGGTTCCATAATGTCCACATCAGATTGATCAATATCCCAGGAAAGAGGACAAATCTGTTGAGAAGAAAGCTGATTAAAGTCCTCCCCTTTGCTTTCAGTACTGTTCTGATACAAGTTTAATTGTAGATTCAACTCTGTTCCAGGGTCATCCGTGAAATTTGTCATCAAATCATGAGTGTAGTTCGTCCCAGTCAAGGAGGGTAGACCATTTAAGCTTTTTAGAGCAACACAGAGCTTAAGTTCGTTAAGTTAATTCACGGCTAAATCATCTGTCAGCTTAAAATGAAGGTAACTGTCACCCCGTTGGAACACCCAGTACTTCCGGACTTGGTCATTGAAGACAATGACTCTGCATTCCGTGGAACAATGGCTTCAGAAAAACCCCTCTTTTGATCCAAACGATCCTCCACACCACCTTCACCATTTCCCATCACCTCACACGAAGAAGGGGTAGAAGATGAGCTCTTGGAATGAGAAACAGAGGTCAAACCTGGAGAAGGAGAAGGTGAACGTGCTACCCATTTATGTTTCAGTACGAGTCCATCGAGTACCCTGACAACTAGCTGAAACAACCAGTCGTCTCCACTTTTCTTTCTCAGTCCGACACTGAAATGAAGCTGGAATGAGAAACAGAGGTCAAACCTGGAGAGAGTTTGGTTTTGGGCTTGAGTTTGAACCTGGGCTTGTCTTGGATCTGGTTCGTTAAAAAAGGAAACAGAAAATGAGTTGAGTCCTTTAAAAACCCTTTTTTAGTGTGGGTTGGTTTAGGCCCAAAATCAGGCTTGAACTTGAGCCCATTCCTCCTAGACCCAAAATGACTTAACACTTTAGTTTGCCCATAACTCCTCCGGCCCGAATCAATTATAGGCCAATCTGTGCGGCCCAACCCAACCTCCTCACCAACCCTTGTAGATAAGGATAGGGACGAATCTGGAAGTGAGCCTCTACCATTGCCACGTGTAAAATTAACCTTGTCAGCTGTAACGCGCGTGACCGGCGCGTGTCGTTTACTTGATCTTCCTCACACCCATCCTTCCTCCGTCATATGATGTGGCCCGTCACTGCCTTAAATATTCTCCGTCGAGGGAACCAATGCCAGCGCAATTTCTTCCCAGATTGCCACCTTGTAACAAAAAGTGTCATCATTAATAAGCACAAATTGCGGGCAGGTCGATCCTATTCTCACTGTAATCCGAACGCTTTCGGCATCCCTTGTTTCATCAGCAACAGCTCCCATAAATCCGCCGCACAACTCCCCAACTTTAACAACTAACGCATGACACCATAGATAAAGGGGAAGTCCAAACATCCGGATCTGTTTGAGACCTTTGTTTCTAAGGACGCCGCAACAACCAACCCTAAAAGACCACATATCGATCCGCAAGGTTGCAAATCCCCATTGACGCCGGCCTTCTTTCAACACACGTTGAGCTTCAACCTGAGAAGGAAACCTGAATAGGAGCATCGAATCTAATAAGGGAGTAACCCCTACTCCACAAGACGTATTCCATGCTCTCGCGGCCCATTCCTTAACCCGATCACATCCCCCAACTTCCTTGTCAAAACGATAGACCAAGTAAGATGAGAGAACTGATTTCCTCCCTCCGACAGACTCCCCGTCGATGTACAAAGACGGCCCTCGATGTGGAACTGCCGACTTCACATCCCCTCTCAATGAAATTCTTGAAATCCTTGCAGTTTCTAAATAAGATTTCATCGCAGACAAAACAAAAGCAAAAGGACAAAGTCACTATCGCTTTGAAATCACCCATAGTGACGTCATTCAAGAGCCCATTAAAAAAACCCTTCTAATTATACTTAACATACAATTATTTGCGATAGTGGAATCGAATGCATTTTAAAGAGACCCTACAAGAGGTTCAGTTCGAAAAATATTTGTCATATCATAGCTTGTTGCAATATAATTTTTACAGGGTTCTTTTAGACTTTAATAGTTTGTGTGGGTAGGGAGGATGGGGTGCAAAACGTAAAATGTTAAATTAGATTTTTTAAAAACAAAAAAGTATTTAGTGGTGGTGGAAATTAGAAAGCATAGGAAGTCAAGGGGTCAAAGAATAAAAATAATGGTCTAAGAATCTAATGACAAATGCCATTATAACTATGGAATGCTGAAAAGTTGATATATGGATTAATGTATCCTACTGGAATTAATCATTATATATTATGACGCTAGTTTATTGAATAATTTTGCTCTATATTGCAATATATTTTTGGATATTCTGATGCTTTTCATTGAATGGTCTGTTTTTGAGGGGTTTCCAATCTTGGTTTTATTGATTGTTGAGATGGCCTATGTGAAACTATTCAATGAGGTAGATACTGCTGTTTATATTAGTAATATCCAAGAAAATTATAATACACGTCAATTTGAACTAGATATTAAAACGGAATAATCACTCTACTGAGCTGTGTGTGGTCACCTACTATTATTTTATTATTTTCTTGATAAGTCACCCTATTACATAAATTTATAGACTTGTCGCCAGTTGAAAATAAAGATGCAAGGCAAGAGATTGAGACTAAATATCCCTACATATGCTGCTGCTTCATTGAAATGTTTAGATATAGAAAAGTTTTTGTATTTGATGGTATATGGTATGCAATGGATATTCTGGTTTGTTTGGAACTTTGGATGTGAAGGTGTAAGTTTAATAAACTTAATGCATTTTAGATACTATAACTTGATGAATTAGCTTGCTTGCTGACAGATAGATAAAACTTATAGACCTAAATGTTATTCTTATTGTTGTTGTTGTTGTTGTTGTTGTTGCTGCTGCTGATGTGGTTATTATTGAAATTATTTACCTAAACATTATTACTTAAAGGAAAAACTTAGAATATTACCTTACTGGGGAAAAAACCATTGAAGAATATTAAAAAAACTACCAACAGGCTAGTGGCCTAACGGTATCAGCCTCTTACTTCCCAAAGGGAGGTCAGGGGTTCAAGTCTCAAAAGAGACAAATGTGTGTAAGTACCAACTAGGAAAATAAATAAATAAAAAAATAAAAAAACTAAATAGATATAAATAAATAAATAATCAGGAAGAGATTAATTTTACTAAAAAAAACTTTAATACAAAAATATTTCACGCATTGTACCAGGAAGAGATTAATTTTACTAGAACAGTATTGTAGTTCCTCTTTCAGGGAATCATTCCTCAATAGTCAACAACATATGAGTATCTAAAGAATACACATGTGCTTTGACAAAGAACAATACGAAACATACCAAGAATCCAACAGCCTGCCTCACATGCTTTAGTTCATCCCAGGATGAGCCTGCATACTGCAATAGGAGCAATATCAGACAAATTTTATGTGAGTAGCTATAGTGTTAACAACCATTTTTTTTTTAAAGTAAAATTGTATAAAAAGCGCTCAAAAGGGGAGCAAATCCCTAGCTATAGTGTTAACAACCATATACTCTAAAAGCTTAAGTCGTAGAGGGTGTAACTTAAATATTACAAATCCTTCAACACGACCCCTCATGTGTGGCCATCTTTTGGTCCAACACGTGTTTCAATTTTAAATCAAGGGTGACGGTGAGGTTTGAACACAGGACTTACCCTCCTCTTAGAGGGTGCAACTTAAATACTTAAATCCTTCAACATATAGCATGAAGCCATACAGTGAAGATACTATATGAAGCAGACCACCAAATAGTTATGATAAAAATAATAATATAAGTACACTAATTGTACTATTATAAATATAATAATTATAGTTATTGTAATAGAAGCAATATAACAAACTCCCAGGACTTGGACTAACAAATGTGAGAATATGAATCAAATATGAGGCTAGCTAGCCACCTCATGCGAATTAAGCGAAAAGCAAGGTCTGAACCCAGCCTACCACCCCATACGACAGGCCAGCACTGGGTGGATAATGGCATTTTCAAATATTCATCAATTACTAGATTAATGAATACCTCATCTTTTGCTTGGCCACACCATAGTTCTAATTCAGCTAACCCAGATTTCACATATTCCCCATTGCTGAATGTGCAACACTCTCGACGAAGAAGAAGGCTGCAATGGTATATAAAAAGATACAATTCACAAGTCAATATATAGCATATAATGTCTTAAATAGTAAAGCTAGGAGGGTGGATCAACTACCTATTAAAAAGCTGCACATTAATATAAGAGAAAATCTGAGTAAAGATCTTCTGACAAAGAACTGGAGCCACCTGAAAAGATAATGTCATTAGGGTCAACATGAATCCCAAAAAAATATATATATATTCATAATGCCACTTGATTTTGTTAGTAATGAATATGCATACAAAATTTTCTTGTAATGTACTAAGAAGCCCATTTAAGCTCTCAATGATGCTCTGCCAGTTACTAGCATTTCCTCTTGATGTTTTTGGTGCCTGGATTGCAAGGCAACAGCAGATTAGCAATTTAGAATTAAAAAATTAAAACTCATTCACATAGACAGTGGATAAAAAAGACATCCTTTCATAAGAAACACGAAAGATAAGTACTGAAAGGGAAATAACATGTACAAAGAAGAATGAGGAATCCCTAATCACAACAGTTAATCAGAAAAGTATTTTATACTTGATCACTAAAATCCTGGTTTATTAACGGTACTAATTTGTTCCAAGACAAGCTAGGAAAGGAATACAATGAAGCAGAGAAGTTAGGGGCCACATGTATGGCATTACCTACGCAAGCCTAGGAGTTCGAGGGGTTGGTAGACCTTATACGGGCCTGTCTTAAATTAGTTACAGATGTTTGAGCATACAATAACCAAGCCTGATTAGGTTTCTTGGCCTCAATCCATTTAATATTATTTTGACTTATTTAATAAAAAAATGTCACTTAGATCTGCAAAGTGGCCAAAGCCCTGACCCATTGAATTAAGGGTGTTGCACATAATTATTATCATCAAAACGATATTTTTGTAAAATAACAGACGAGATTAGAAAAGCATATAAAACCAAAAACAGGTTGTAGCAAGTGGCAACTCTTCTACTTCTCAAAGTGGAAGGTTGAGGGTTCAAGTCCCATAGGGAATAAATGAGTGTGTGTCTTATTTGACAAGACTTTAAGATATATAAATAAAAATAAATAAAAAATGGCAGTCTAAGTGGCAAAAAATTTCAAATTCAAAACGTCTCTCTCCCCACTAACTATGCGAGTGAATCAATTTAAATTTCGTGATTCTAATACTAAAATTTATGAGAATAGGAAATTTATACATGGATGGCACAGGTGCTTTGATGCCTCTGTCTTCAAATCTAAGTTTCTAAACCTGCGACTGAATCAATTGAAATTTCATGATTCTAACACCAAAATTTATGAGAACGGGATTCAGGACAGCACAGGTGCTTTGATCTCTGTGCTTGTATTCACTATTAGTATTTGTTCGTCTTTGCCTTTGTATCACTTTCTTGGAATGAGAAACTTAACTTCCATAATCAAGTTGTTGTTAAAAAATTAGAACAGCACCTCCTAATATTCTCTACTTGGGGAACTCTTTTCATAGAATGTAAGCACCTTTTGAGTGATGATTCTAGTATTCTTTCATGCATAATATGGAAAGTGAATCATAAACAGCCTAAACCTTTTTCATGGGTCGTGTGCGTTACCAGGTTAACAAGTTTGCTTGTCCACCCTAACACAATCTCTATTTAATAAAGGATTACATGGATCAACTAGGAAAAAAAAGGATTACATGGATCATGCCGTGTCACCTATTTAATAGAAAGAGGTTGACGAATTTATATTGTATTCAGGTTGATCAATTGAGTGTATTCATACTTGACACAACATCGTGTTGCCACCCTATCAAAACTGAACCCTATTATATAAAAACCCCATTCTAGCTGGCAGCTTCACAGTGCTGTAACAAAGGATTTATTTCTTTAAACTTAAACAGTCTTCCAGTAAAATATATAGAGTGTATAAAAGGTGGGGAAGAGATGCAAGGAAAAGAATATTTAATAATTGCGGTGACTGCGAGGTTTCAACGAAGGACCTTGCATGTTCTGATATCATGTTAACACCCATCAACTCTAAAAGCTTAAGCTATTAGGGTGTAACTTTAATATTTAAATCCTTCAACAAAAACCAAAAAAAAATTTAAGATTATTGGAAGTGATGTTTGGAGTAATTAGTTAATACTCACTCAAAGATGCCAACTAGCCAATTTGGTAAAGTCGGAAAAAATATTTATATAAAAACCAAAGAATTTTTTACAAGATTATTGGAAGTGATGTTTAGAGTAATTAGTCAATAGTCACTCTCAAGGATGCCAACTAGCCTATCTGGTATGAAGCGTCTCTTGTTATGAAGCGTCTGTTTCTCCTCATTGACAAACAGCAGTCTTGTGAACAGGAGTCAGGAGGAGATGAGGTTGCTTCTGAGACTGTTTGTAGGTCTTCCTTCTTTTGTTTAAGTCTCAGCTGACCCATAATTATGACTGTCTTTAGAAATCCACCCAGGCCTTGGTTTTTTGCCCAATCTTCTCATTACCCAGATGGTCTCTTCTGATCACAGGCTTGAGCCTTTGTTAGCAACTCATTCTCACCTTAAGTTGTTACACCTTCATTTCATACAAGGAAAAGAGCGCAAAACATCATAGCGGGTCTCACCGTACCACCAATCCTGACCTCAGAGAGGGTTTCCAATAGAAATGTTGGCTGTTTCTTCCTCACCCAGAAGAGCACTGAGGAAGATTGGTCGGGGGACGCAAGAGGTTATATGCACAGCTTTAGTGACCAGAAGATTGAATCCACACAGTGGCTAAGATCCTTTCAGACTTAGGAATAGGAATAAAGTCACAACTGACGTGAAACATGAAAAGGCAGATTGAACCATCCCAAGAGTGGAGAAAATGGTATCTAACAAAGTCTCACTACTGACCCATGATGTCCTTTGTTAAAAGAAATTGATCACATCATTAATAGGTTTGGACTACCTGAGTATTTAACCAATCTGGTCACCTCATCCTGAGCCAGGATCAAACTAAACTTATGTTGTTTATACAAATTGTCGGATTTCTAGGAAATAAATTAGGAAATTCAATTTTTGAAAATAAAATCTGAAACTGCTATTTCAGATTTTAGTAGTTTCTGTTTCCTGTTTTCTAGCTTAGAGTTTTGCTGATTTGATTTGCTGATTTTGTGGGCTTCCTGATTTGGTGGCCTTCCTCTACTATTTATCTTGTAACCGTCTCTCTTGAAAGACAAGAAGACTAAATATTTTTCTTCTTAAAAAAACCTTCATGGTATCAGAGCCTAGTGCTTTTTTTCTATTTTCTGATGATGTCGTATAAGTCAGCGATGACCGGCGCCCAAGGAAATCCTACCATCTCTTCCAGTACTTCCGAAACCATTCCGCCCAATCCCACTATTTCTCCCACGAATATTCCCCCCAATCCCACACCAATATCTGCCGAGTATTATTCCCAAAATTTAGCCCTTTATCTCACGGTTACAAAACTCAATGGGCACAATTATCTCTAGTGGGCTCAGTCCGTAAAATTGGCAATCGATGGCAGAGGCAAAATTGGGCATTTGACTGGCGAAATATCCAAACCTGCTGCTGGTGACCCTAATCTGAAAAAATGGCAGTCTGAAAATTCTCTTGTTATTGCTTGGCTCATCAATTCCATGGAACCTACCATTGGAAAACCTCACCTATTTCTTTCCACTGCACAAGATGTCTGGGAGGCCGTTCGAGATCTTTATTCAGACCTGGAGAATTCTTCTCAAAAATTTGAGTTGAAAACTCGACTCTGGAAATCCAAGCAGAATGATTGCGATGTTACTACTTATTATAACGAATTGGTAACTTTATGGCAGGAACTTGATCAGTGTTATGATGATGTTTGGGAGAATTCGAACAACTACGCTTGTCACAAGAAGAGAGAGGAAAACAACGGGGTTTACATGTTTTTAGCCGGCCTTAATCGAAGTTTGGACGAGGTCCGAGGCCGCATTCTCGGCAGAGAGCCATTGCCCTCTATTCAGGAAGTTTTTTTCCAGAAGTTAGACGTGAGGAGTCAAGGAGAAAAATCTGCTACGCAACACCGAACATGGTTCCAATCTGGAACCTAAGAGCTCTGCTCTTGTGTTAAGAGGTGTTGTTTCTGACAACGAAGGGCGTAAGAAACCGTGGTGCGAGCATTGCAAAAAACCGTGGCATACGAAGGAGACGTGTTGGAAGCTTCATGGTAAACCAGTAAATTGGAAGCCAAAATCCAAACGTGACGGTCGCGCCTACCAAGCCACTGCTAAAGAGACTCGGGAGCCTTCTACCAACTCGGATGTAGTCTCTTTACCAAGGAGCAATTAGAGCACCTGTACAACTTATTTTCTCCAAAACTGTCCTTAACTCCGTCTTGTTCTTTGGTACAGAAGGGTAACTCTCTTGCTACTACGTTTTTTGGTGTTATTTCTAACCCTGTTCATTCTTGGATAATTGATTCAGGCGCAAATGATCATATGACCGGTTGCTCCAAATTATTCTTATCCTATAGTCCGTGTGC